AAAATTGAAGTTTTCGCACATAACAGTCAGTGGCAATTTTCTTGAAATATTTGTTCGAGCTAAATGTCATCTGGTGCCGTAGATTGCGCACAGGTACATGAAAATTAAACTCAATTAACATGTATTAATATGTCACGCCATTGTGCAAAACATCATAAAGAACATTCAAAGTGCTTATAGCTGTCCTAATATTTAGCGATTCAACAGTATGGAATAATCCTTTCCCCTCTGACAACTTGAAATGCGAATTTTCAAAAACAATCTTTGTATTCACTCAATATGACAAATTAAAGATCAATTTGCCAATTCAGCTCGAACGTCGGAAAAATAAAGAAGTTTCAGAACGTGTATATTGGAAAATTGTCTACTGTTTCGGATGATGAAGCCCAACATCCAGCTGGTTGATGTTGTAATATCATTTATATGTTCACAAAGTGACAAAGTAGATCAACCCAAAAATGATTAGCCTTACACCAATCTAAAACTATGTCAGTGTTGCTTTGTAAAGTTTGACAGTCTATATTTAAATTTATGTTATGGAAAATTTTCAAGTCGTCCGTGTGGAGCATTTTTTGGAGTGTAATCTTTAAAGCTAGATCATTTACATATAACAAAAACATGAGTAGTCCTAAATTCGATCCCAGATATTTGCGAGAAAATATCGGAAAGCTGCTTTTTGTTAATGTATGATAATGTCTGTGTGCTTGACTACATTTTTGCATTGCATGACTTCCTCTTCATGGAGCAAATAATAGAATGTGTTTCGATAAAGTATAACGTTATTTTTACAGATTACCTTTGAAAATTATATTGATACACTTTCCTTTTGTGAACTTTTGCGATCAATTGAATAAAAGAAATAATGGTTTTACCATTTTGCGATTTGATTCCATGAAAGTTTTACACTAATGCAATTTTTTATAAGTTTTCTACGCTCCGCTGGATCTATATTTTTTTGTCATAATTTTGCAAGAGGCGTGTTGTGAATGCGGCGACTGTCCTTGAATTATTCAACATCATTAGTGGGATCCATTGAGTAAAAGGAAATTGTGTACAAATCAACATACGTATATGCTAATATTTTTACAGCATTTTGTAAATATACTGTATGTATAAGAATATCGATGCGTACAAAGTTTGATGAATTGTGTCAATTCGTTGAGAAATGAGAGTATAATTAATAATAACCAATTTTTTTAAAACATACAAAACTTCAAACAAAAAAGCCCATGATTTGCATTAAAAAACATAGAATAAGGCAGAGTAGAATGGTCATATATTATGCATTATTAAAAAAATGTAGTCCACAAATTAAGAAAAAACTTGGCAAGGTTAGACTTAAGTATAATAAACATGGTATAATTGAGATATCACGGGTAAATAGAAAGAAATAACAGGTAATTAAAAAATCAACAGGTTAACATAGCAATGCCTAGAAATGGAGTCAGACTTTGACATGATACATGCGAATCACAATATAAATAAAGACCTCTGAAACATTGCCACTCGAGAGATTGCAAAAATAGCACCATACCAGATATTTCTCAAGACCAACACATCAAAAAAAAAAACGATCCAAGACCGACCCTTACAACTACAGGCCTATAGCTGTGCTTTCTGTGATAAGTAAGGTGATGGAGAGGTGCATAAATCGGGAGCTTCTGTCTCTAACGGACAGTCTCGGTACCCTTCCGCGCCGGCAGGACTTCGGCGATCTAGCTCTCTTCTACCGGTACGCCAAGGAGCTGTTCTCCATGATGCCGCCGCGCACTGTGCCTGCTAGACAGACCCGCGTAACTTCAGCCTCCCATCTTAACCTTGTCGAACATCCAGAACTGGTCGACATGACCGCTCCTTTGTCCCTAGGGTATCGAGATTGTGGAACAATCTACACTAGGAGGATTTTCCCAGTTCTACTAACCTTAGGCAGTTAAAAAATCGGAACTGAGTTTCCTTAAGTTCCTCATGGCATTTAGGCTTCTGCCTGCGCGGACGCGTTGGTAAAAAAGCGGATTGAAGAGCGAGGGTAAATTTCCAAGATTTGAAGGATTGTGTCTATTCAAGAGCTTATGAGTGAACAAACTAGCAATATAGGTGTCGTTCGTCTGACCATGAACAGTATTTCGTACTATTTGGCCTGTCCTTAGCATGGTGTAGGCTTGGTCTCGGTGGAGAATCAGTGGAAAAGAACGAAATCTGAGCAACTCTACTCTATTCAGAGTATAAGCTTTATCTAAAGCTTTATCTAAATAAGACTGGAAAAAGTACTATCTATTACCAGAAATATATAGAGTAAAAACAGCTAACTATCAGTTGGAACTGTATCCCAGTTTGCATTGTCAGCCTATTGTCCACTGTGACCGCTAGATGCCGCCGATTCTGGTGCTATAGTAGATACGGTCTACTCTCCATTGAACAAACTAATAATATAGCTTTTGCTCATCCGATCACAGACGGCTAACCATGCACAGCTGTGTCGTGCTATTTGGTGGTTGGCGGTGTTTGTTTCGTTGGTTTCTTGATTTGGGATCGAATGGAACGTAGACTTACCGCACTTGGAAGCGTATAAATATACTAACTCCAGAAACTTTAGATATACTCTTCCCCACCCTCTACAACCCTCAATTTTTAACCCCTACAAAAATGTTTCCTAAAATGATCAGGTGCCTCTGAATCGCCAAAAACAAGGTTTGTGCGATTTTTATTTTTCCATTTTTTGCCCCCCATCTCCGTCGCCACTGAATCGATTTTCAAAACCTACAAAGTTTTTTTGTCCTTGGCATAGTAGTAACCTTACTTATTTTATAAAAATTCGAGCAGTACTTTTCAAGTTATAAAAGAAAAACCAGATGATTGAGCATTAATATAAGGTTCTTAATAATGTTCTCTCAAGAATTGAATGAATTAACGATCCGGGTGTATGGTTCGATAAAAAATTATCCTATAACTATTATATCAACTTGAAAATATCAGATGCATTCCAAATCTACGGATTTATAGAGAGAAACTGTAAGGCGTTCGATGATATAAATGTTTTGAAAAAGTTATATTGTGCATATGTTCGCTTTAGGTTACAAAATGCATCTTTAGTTTGGGAGATGTTCTATATAACTTATAAGACCTCCTTAGAACAGGTACAAAGGCGTTTCCTCAAATATTTATGGTTCATATTCACAACGGGCATTTTAGAGGTTCATCTGTGTTATAGGTTTGGCTTGTTACTGCTCATACTTCCTTAATATTTGTACGTGTTTACAAACTATTCTCATTTGAATTTCAATGCACCGGCAACTAGGTCGTACCCATATTTTAAGTTAAATCGCAGCGACAAATTTAGGATTAAATTCTCCATTGTCTAACATGTAATCTAATTTTAATATTATTAGTGACGTGTGTGATGTCATTACTGATTTGTCTGGTCTTTTTGTTGGATAAATCGCAAATGGCATGGTTTTTCGTAATGTACATGCTATATAACATCCAAAATACATAATATCTCGTTTTAAAAATGTTTCTCTATTACCATATTTCTTCGCCAGTGGCGTAGGAAGTAAAGTATGTGTATTGTGTACAGCTACTGTATGCTTTTTGTGTTAGTCCCTACTGCTTATTTGTAGGTGTTATGGTTGACACTGTGTACGGCGCTAGTGGGATATGTTAAACCTGGGAAATTTAAGCAAACCCTCAACAGATATGTCTCAATCATGTGCTTCGGAATACTGTCCAGGGCAATTTCGTCCGTTGTCACCTATCACAATGAAGAGAATAGACCGAAAACAGGCATTTGTGTCGCCAATCACACATCGCCCATTGATGTTCTTATTCTTATGTGCGACAATTGTTATTCTTTGGTAGGTGGTAATATTGAACGATATTTTTTTAAGGATTGCTACCAAAAGAGTCGATTGATCTTGACTAATTTAGGGTAACCCACTTGCACAACCCAGCTTTAGTATTGCTTTCAAACTATAAAGCGTCCATCATTTATAAGATCATTTGTAAGATATTTAACATACCAATTTAGGTTAGAATTTATCTGAAACTGTATTTCAACTATTTGACAGCCATCTAAACAATATCTTCCATCCAACATTTACGTGACCTGCTTCTTAGCACCTTTGGGCTTGTTGAAGAAAAGAAGAGAGATTTCCAGTTAACGATAACAGATAAAAAAAGTTAATAAAAAGTTAGTTGAGGAGTCAATAAGTTTTGTATCACGTGTACTGTAAAATGATAAAGTTTATCGATGCTTTTGGTAGTAATAACTCAGTTTTAGACTGTCATGTTCTGACAAATGCTTTTTTTCCTGTAATAAAGATAAATGTGAAAGTATTTTTATAGCCTGGGGTCACAACAGCTAACTTTGGAATATCGCAATAGTGGCTTACATTATAATTGAAATTATTTCTAATTTGATCTTTAACCGTAACAATGATTCAGGAAATAATCCCGTCACCTTTATCTGAACCATTCAAATTAATGTACAGTAATTTAATAGAACACATGTTTTGTCTAATATGCATATGTATACATTGATAAATACTACTGATTAACAAAAATTGAATTTTGACTGTCACTCATGTACTAGCTGCCTAGAGCTAGTGTCTGCTGAGTTTGGAATCATTTTATACGAAAAATGATAAAATCAAAGCAGGTCTGTTCTGTATATAAAAAATTATCATTATCATTATCAGTTGTCTAAAATCGTTCATTTTTTCTACAAAATCTTTTACATTCTCTGCTGTTTTGAGAATCTTTTCGTGTTGTTTATCGTTCATCTTTTAAAAAATTGAGCGACAATTCTTATGCATTTAAATTTATAATTATTCATTGATTAGTATGTCTGCGGTATTGTTATTACATAACTTATAGTATTTTTTATGCTTAATTGGCGCTCGTGTAAGATTTGCTTGACACCTCATTATAATTAATTGATGCTTGGTGCAATCCTCATTTGCGTTTTACAAAAAATCAAACATTAACCATCATTTTTCCAATAGATAGGTCAACGTCATGGTGGCTTTCTGGGCATATTTCAGAGGGCTCTTGCCAGGGCTTCGCCTCATATTTGGTTCGAACGGTCCGAAGCACGAGATAGGCATGCTGTGGCAAAAAGGTAAATATGGAGTCGTAATGGAATACTTAATTTTCAAATCAAAATCTAGCTCTTGTTTATTAGATCAGAGCGGAAAAGTACCGCATATGTTTTTCGTGGTGTATACTCATAATGGGCATCAAAATATTTGAGTCATGCTATTGCAGCTGGTTAGTATATTCAAACAATAAGGATTATTGATACAAAGTATACCTGTTCATTCAATTTGAACAATAATGACATTAATTATACAGTCGTGCCTATATCGATGTAAAGTCCTTGGATTTTGCTACAAGCTTATTTATGGCTATAATAAAGGAGTTATTGAATGTTTTTTCACGTATCGTACCATGAATAATATCATACAAAGTTTGGCATATTTTTAAATTTGCTTCAGCTCTGTTAGAGAAAGTTATTCGTATTCTACATCAAAGGTATTAAGTTAAACTCCTAAATGATATGCTAGTGATGCGAGACAACGACGCTTAGAAAAACATATACAGTTTCTAATGGGGTCAAATTCAACCGAATTTTATTGAAACATGATATCTACATATCTACAAAAGGTTCATTTTGCCCAAACATTATTGCAAGAGTAGAAACGAAAGCTCCACAAAAATCATCGAATTAACCCAGACTTGCCTAAATTCAAACTGTGCAACTTTTATTATACTGTAGCAGCCCCGTAGGCAGAAGCCCAAAACCAGGGCATCGCAGCTTCTATGAGGCGCTTAAAGAAGCTTTCTTAATCAGAATTTTGAACTGCCTAAGATTAGTAGAACTGGAAAAGCCTCCACAGGTAGATTTCTCGACAATCTCGGTACCTTGGGGATAAAGGAGCGGTCGTGTCGGCCAGTTCTGGATGTACTAAGTTAGGATGGGATAGCGGTGTCAGGTGGGTGTGTCTGGCAGGCACATCGCGCAGCGGCATCATGGAGGAGAGCTATGAGGAGCAAAGCCCGTTGTCATAACGGTAGAAGATAGTTAGATCGACAAAGGCCCGTCAGTGCGAGAGGGTCCCGAGACAGTCCGTTAGAAAAGAGTCATCGATCAGCCGGACAGCCCCGCTGAACAGCATCGAGCATGTAATCTGGACGAATGTACTACAAACATGTGAGCAGTACTCGAAGCTAGGTATTATCTGTGCCTTGTGCAGAGTGAGGAGGTTATGTGGAGAAATAGTACTTCTCAAGCCTAAATAAGTAGAATAGCAGCTGCCGCTATTGACGAGATGTAGTCGATGAAGTCCCCGGTGATCTGGACTCCGACCAGCCGAAATAAATGGCTCTTTCATTGAACTCGGCCGGCCATTGAAACCGTATGAGCGCTAGGCTGCTTATTGTCAAAGTACAGTACTATGTTTTGGAAGCATTAAACAACCAGATTGTTGCGTCCGCAAGCAGTGATAACCTCCACGACTCTCGTCAGAGAGGAAGTCATCTGCTGTCATCAGCAAAGCTGTGGATCGGATTGATCGTACCGGAAATGAGATCCTTAATATCGTCGTCAATTATGTCGGATATCTTTCAGCCAAAGAGGAAGTCAGCCACCCATCTGCAAAGCCTCTTTGGAAGGCTCTAGGCTAAGTTTGCTTAAGAGGACAGCATTATATTATGATTATGGTCGTCTATAAAATGGGTAAATTTTCATACAGAGTAATGAAAGTAAAAAATATTGTACTATTTATATATGTACATTTTTAAATTAGGATGATATATTAAATACAACTACCTTGAAATCCATTTTTTGTTTGTTTTTGTTATAGGTTGAAGGAGCATGTGTCCAATCCCGAAAACCCACCGATTCTCATATTTCCAGAAGGCACATGTATAAACAACACATCTGTGATGCAGTTCAAAAAGGGCAGTTTTGAAGTAGGCAGCGTCATTTATCCTGTCGCCATCAAATATGATCCTAGGTTCGGTGATGCATTCTGGAATAGCAGTAAGGTACTAATGTAATATTTATTACAAGACTTAATGTCCGATTTCTATGCTACGGCTGTGAAGACTGTATCCACCCGATCTCCACCACCTCACCGTACGATACCAGCCCCTCAGTTAAATCCTATGGCGCGACTCCGTGTTAAATTTCAGATTCTCCATTAATGTTGTGCCAGAATACATCAGTTTTGACCACGATTCTTTTATGTCTGGAAGAGGAAGGAGAAGAGTTGTTATTACTAATCAAGCTTGCAAAACCTATGACTGTATATGAAAAGACGCGAGGGGATTCAAAATATTATATTTTTTTTATAGCCTAAGCAGGCAGAAGCCATATCAAGGCACAATGTTTCTGAAATTTTTGGGATATTGTGAACAAAAACGGTGCTTTAAAACTTTTACCTAAAGTTGATAGTTTTCGAGATATAAGCAAAACAATATTTGGAAAAATGCGACATATACCATTTTCGACCTACACCAATATGAAAAAATGGCGTCAAGTCGGTTCATAAAGGATAATGTGCATCACAAACTAGACTCTTTGAGAGAAAAGTAAGTCAAACAGGTCCAACAATTAGTCCATACACCCGGTCATACGTGGCAGCGCGGTCAGAGGTAAGAGCATAGCATATAATACCAGACATCATACCAGAACAACAGAGCTCACCAAAGCCGTTTGTTTATGTTTAAGAGCTATTGTACGGAGAGATCTATGATGTGTGAAATATAATATATCAAAAAATTGATATAAACCGTTTCCACCCCCCTCTTCCCTCTACAATCCCCACAACCAAGTTTATTTACCTCTATAATTATTATTTTTTTTTTAGAAAATGATCAGAATCTTCTAAAATGTCAAAAAAGAAGATTGACCGCTTTTCCATCTTTTTGCGTCCTTGGCATAGTAGTAGCATTGTGTAAAAAATTCATCCGAAGGATACTTCTCAAGTTCGAGGCGGTTATAAAATTTTCGTAATGTGTATGTCGTATAACACCCAAAAACATATCTCATTTTCGAACATTTTCCCGGTTACAGTACTACCGCCAGTAGGCGTGGGAAGCAAAACGAAAATTTGGTAATGTTGCTTAAGGTTCCTCGAGCATATATTAACAAAATCCCAATGCATTTAAGCATTTCAGGAGGTATTTTTGTTTTTTAATTGTTAATCGAGCGCGCGCTCAATGGGTCTGCGCGGCGGCTAACAGCTGCCCCCACATGTTGCATTTCTCTCGCATTCACGCGGGCTATTTACTGCGCGCTATTGTTGAAAAATTAAAAAACAAATGTTTACAATAATAATACCTCCTGAAATGTTTTGAGGTTTTATTAATGGTTGCTTGAAGAATATTCAGGAGTAATGATGATATTGAAATTTTTCTTTTCTCATGTTGTTTTTCGTGGTCGAAAATGGCTATTTCGCACTTTTTCAAATATTGCATTGCTTATGTCTCGAAAACTATCAACTTTATCGAATGATTCTAGATTACGTTTTTGTTCAGAATGTCCCAAAAACCTATGAATATTTTGACCGGAGCGAAAAAAACAACTATTGGAATATGAATAAGGAAAATTGTTTAAAACATTTTTGACGCAAACTTGGGACTGGCAACATGCATATTCGTTAAAAGAGGCCCTTTTTGGGTAGTTATATTGTTTTTCAGTCGCGAATAGACCACATCTAATCTATCGCTAGAATCTACTTTCGATGCGAACTAAGACACCTTTACAGTTCCAACAGATGGCTACTATTCACTCCCGCAGTGGTCGTTTCTGGTAATAGATGACACTTTTGCTATCGTATTTGGATATAGGATATACCTTAAACCCCCGACAGATGATACTTTGGTCTGCTTTCGTTTGTTGTAGCTCCCTAGAGACCTGCTAATTATTGTCAATGAGCATGAAACAGCTATATACGGTTGGTGCTCTGTTTGCTTGAACGGATGAAAGCAGTATTATTGAATAAGCTGCCATGGGACCATTATACAATATATGTATATTTTTTACTTTTTCTGATTTTCACTAAAAAATTTACTCGATTTTGATTAGAGCACATGTGGCACCCCTGCTTTTCTGTGCTCGATAGCCAAACGCATCTCCAGAGATTCCCCAAATCCCTACCGAGTGGAGCACAGAATGATATATACGAGGGCGGTTCAATAAGTACCCGTGTACCCTGCCATTTTTTAACCCCCCCAAAAACAGGATTTGTCGATCTCTCCAAAATACGCCTGTCTCTTCCTCGTTAGAGCTAAATGTTGTCCCCGCGAGCCGTTTCTTCATGTCAGGGAACAAGAAAAAGTCGCAGGGGGCCAGATCGGGTGAATACGGGGGGTGCGGCAGCACTTCATAACACAATTGATGCAGTTTGGCGGCGACCACTCCAGATGAATGTGCTGGTGCGTTATCGTGGTAAAACAGCGCCTTCTTTTTCGTCAAATGTGGCCGTGTCTCCTTCCATTTCTAGTCGAAGCGGTCCAATAACTAACTATAGTATTGTCCAGTGATCGTTCTTCCTTTTTCTAAAAAATACACGAGGATGACGCGGTTAGCATCCCAAAAAAATCGTCGCCATGACCTTTCCGGCCGATGGGACTATCTTCGTCTTCTTTGGAGCACATTTACCTGAAGAAATCCATTGTTTTGATTGATGCTTAGTTTCTGGTGTGTAAAGATGAATCCAGGTTTCATCGACGGTGACAACTCGACGCAAAAACTCCTTCGGGTTTCGCTTAAATTGCTCCAAACAGTGCTTCGAAGTTAACAGCCGCATCCGCTTTTTGTCCACCGAGAGCAATCGCGGCACCCATCGGGCCGACAATTTTTTCATAGCCAACTTATCGTGTAAAATATTGATTGTCGTTCCGGTCGGCACACCTACGGCCTCTGCTACTTCGCGCACTTCCGTTTGTCGATCAGCGAGAATCATGTCGTGAACTTTATGTATGATTTGCTCGGTAACCACGACTGCCGGGCGTCCTGGTAGATCCTCATCAAAAACGAATGTTCGCCCACGTTTAAATTCATTGTACCAATATCTAACTGTGGTCATAGATGGTGAAGTTTCCCCATAAACAGCATCCAACTTTGTTTTTATCTCCTCGCATTTTTTCCCATCCAAAAACAAAAAACGAATTTCCGAACGATACTGCTCTTTTTCCATCTTAGCGAAAATCACGAAACACTTGTTAGTCGAATGGCTGCCAAATCCAAACTAACCTATCAATCAGTCCGAAATTTGTTGTGCCGTCCTTTGATAGATGGCAGCACACGATGATAACATTAAATTCCCTCAGGAACGCCCTCTGTCGTCAAACACGGGTACTTATTGAACCGCCCTCGTAATAATAATAATAATAATCTTTATTGATGTTGGGGATGCAAAAGCACTCACATACGTAAAAAAAAATCTTACAGGTAACAAACAAGTACACACTCAGCAGTAATACTAAATAAAACAAAACCATACACATTCAAAAGATAAAAATACAGACAAGTTCAAATCCCTCGTAATAACACTGAAATATATTAAATAAAAAAAGAAAAAAGATATCAATGTATCTCACTGATGTCATTGACTAGAAAGGTTTCAATACTATAAAAAGCTACCTGCCTATGATGACAGTCTTAATTGATGCAATGTTCAAAAATCTAACTGACTCAGGAAGAGCATTAAAGAACTTGATACCGTAATGATTATGCCCGTCCCTGGATCTGTCGATCCTACTGTAGGGCATGGACATATTATGATATCTAGTATCACAGCTGTGGAACCTGAGGTTCCTGTCATAGTTATCAACGTTTTCCCTGACATGTAACAGGCACTCTAGGATGTACGCACCAGGTAATGTTAATACACCCAGAGAACAAAACTGTCCTCTACAATCGTTCCTATAGGGTGTGTTCGAGATGACCCTGATGCATTTCCCCTGAGCAGCAAACATTTCTGATGAGTGAACCACAATAACACCCCATAAGTCATATGGGTGTGGAAATAGCTGTAGTATGCTTGCCGAAGTATGTATGGGTAGCAGAGTTCTGGTGGCTACGGAGGAGAAAAATGCTTTTGTTGAGTTTAGAAAGCCATTGAGAATGGCTCCTCTTTGTCGGGAACTGGGTGGTTTTATATTGCCTCATGATCCTTACCCGTCTTATATGGATGAACGTGGCGTTACAATTACTGAACATTCAGAAAGATCCAATTTCGAATGGGAATGCGAACTATGTTGGATCGGGCGAGCCAATCCCTCCTGATGTTCCAGACATTAAATATGGCATTTAGATCATATGCGTGAAAGCCAATACTTGCTTCAAATTGTAAAATGTACCAAAATGCTTACGTAAGCATAGGAGGGGGATAAAACATATCCTTACTTTTGCTGACAAGGGGGAGGGGGTTAATTGTAAAAAATCCGCTTACGTATCTGAATGAATATTCAAGTTTAAAACGTGTTAATTAACTAAAAAATTATACTATATGGAAATTTTTGTTTTTTAGTACTCAATGCTACAGTACCTTTACATGATGATGACCAGCTGGGCAATTGTTTGTGATGTTTGGTACTTACCCCCTATGACACAACGCGAGAATGAATCTGCCATTGATTTCGCCAACAGGGTGAAAAGTGTGATAGCAAAACAGGGTGGTTTAGTGGATTTAATGTGGTGAGTGATTTTTGGAAACATTTTAAAAGACCGACACGGAAGACTTTATTGATCTTTTCAAAACGCAGGTTTGCACTATTATTGAATTTAGATTCATTACAATATTATTGATGTTTGTTGGAAATAACTTGGACTCGATTTGTGCTTTATTTTAGGTTCGTGTTGTACCAAATAGTAGTTATATAAAGAGTTAGACAGTTAGACCTTTCGAATAAAATTAGAGAGAGATAAAAGGTGACGTCCGCAAAACAGCTGATCGGCTCTAAACGCGTGCTGTTCTGATTTAGTAGGAAATAAATGTGGTTTTTAAAATCCTTTTTGGGTGAGCTCAGTGACCGTCACTTGTAGTGAACGCATTTTTTGTTCAAATTTACTTTTCTTGGACATTTATTCATGGTGGGCATATTTATCATCCGTTTGCAGCCTACGAAATATATTATATTTTTTATTCAATAAGGTTATAAATCTCTCTTTTTGCGAGAGAAGTTATTCTCAAAATCTGCTGTAAGTTGGCACATAGCTATTCATTCATTCAATAAATTTATAAACCACAAAAAAAGAACTGATCTCCATTCAGCTCAGTATAAATGTAGCGTTTTCTACATATTTTATGGCATTTTGCCAATATAGCCTCAGTACATGCATTGCCATCTATAAGCGAATCGCCAAACCAAGGACGGTCCGCACATAGATCGCTGATTTTATTTGTAAGTCGGTATTAGTCCAAGTTTGGTTACATCCCGTACAGATATGGAGTGTTAAAAACTAGTCAAATCTTAGGCCCGTATCGTCAGTCGTCCCTACAATTGCAGGTCGCGTTTATGGCCTCCTTGATTGTCATACTCTTTTCTCTTCTTCAAAAATTTCTAGATTACACTCGTCCCGTGTCACCGTCAGCGCTCTCCTATTGTTAAGATATGTTTTCCTTTTACATTGTAGGAAATTTCAGGCTGATAAAACATGATAAAACTCAAAAGCAAGCACAATTTGATGCAAATAGATGTTTGTGACATAACCACAAAATAGAGCGCTGACACGGAGAAGTAGAAAACTATGACAATCAAGGAGGCCATAAACGCGCCCTACAATTATTGTAGGGACGACTGACGATACGGGCCTTAGGTATTGAGATGCTAAATAGCAGACTTGTCGAGTTTGCTGTTTAGCATCAAACAACGTAAGATAAGACTAGTTTTTATCGAATTATATCAGTACGCAATGATGAAACAAAAAATTGGGATTGGCTTCCCTACTTTAATGCAGAAGATTCCCAAGGTCAATGGGGCCCGCGGATATACAGGGTGGCGCATCGAAAACGAAACACGCATTTACTGGCAACTCGTTTTTTTTTTGAAAAACGCTCAGACCCGTCGATTTTGTTTTCGAGGGGGACACAAGTTTGACAAAAAATCACGTGCAGCCCCCTGGGCGGGGGTACTACTTTCAGAAGAAATTTGACTAAAAGAACTTACTTAATAAGTAAATGCTTTTCTTCACCACGCCCATGGTTTGTTTATCATTTTGTTGTTGAAAATAGCTATTGGAGCGTTTTTTTGTGACAAAAAAGTTATTTCTTGAAGAAAGATAAGGAAATATCGTACTTATTTTAAATAGGAATTTAGTACATAGTTTGCGATTGATTTGACTAAACTTTGTTTCTAAAATAACTTGTAACGCTTTATTACATAAATTAACCATGGTGTATTCCACATCAGAAGGAGTTGAAATTATCGAAATATTTTTCGGAAATAATCAGTGCTCTAATAGAACAGCAGAAATATTTAATGAGCGATATGAGCACAGTAACATGCATCGAGAATATGTTCTAGAACTTGTAGCTAAATTTCTGGAAACTGGGTCAGTCGCCAATAAAAAACGCAACATTGAAAATCCCATAAGGAACGAAGCAATAGAAGTGGGGGTTTTAGGGCAAGTGTATGTAGATCCTACGTGAAGTACCCGCAAATTAGAGAATGTGTGAGGTGTTAGTCGATGTACTGTCCAACGGATTCTAAAGGCCCATAGTTTTCATCTGTACAAAATTCACCTGGTAAAAGAACTTAATGAAGACGATTTTGATCGGCGATTATAATTTCGTGAAGATATATGTGAACGAATTATAAACGATGAACATTTTCTATTCAACACTTGGTTTTCCGACGAATGTTCCTTTTTCTTAAATGGCGTAGTAAATCGTCATAACTGCTGATATTGGTCCGATTCTAATCCCAGAATTTATCATGAGGTTCATACACAGCAGCCACAAAAATTAAATGTTTGGGCTGGTATTTTTGGCGATCATTTAGTTGGTCCTTTTTTCTTACCTGAAATGTATTTGGAATTACTGGAAGACGCCATAGATCCTGCATTAACAGCCATAATTGAAAATCAGAATGATCGGCGGTACATTGCGAATAGGTTGATGTTCCAACAGGATGGTGCCCCACCACATTACGCCTTACGTGTTCGACAATATTTAGATCAGACGTTTCCAGATCGATGGATTGGTAGAAGAGGTGCCATTGAATGGCCCCTAAGATCGCCAGATTTATCACCTTTGGATTTCTTTATGTGGGTTCATTTAAAAAGCAAAATCTATGCTACTCGGCCAACATCATTAGAAGACCTGCGATAAAGAATTGTGAATGAGTACCTTCAAATTACTCCTCAAACATTGCAAAATGTGCGGCAACGTTTTGAGCAAAATCTTTATTATTGCATGGAGAGTCATGGTGGCCAATTTCAACATTTACTTGCCTAACGGGTCAGATCATTCTTCATTTTTAAATTACTTTGCTACCAAATGTATTGATCTCCACTAATGATGATGTATTAGTTTTATTTAAGCTTTAAATCAATAAATCTTCAAAACTACTGAACTGAAGTACATTAATTTTATATCATTATAAAGGGAATTGAAAGACCTTTAAAATAAGGTATCACTCGACCCCCCTTTCCATTTAAGATTTTGGGAGTGGTGTCACCCCCACTTAGGGGGCTGCACGTGCTAACGTGATTTTTTGCCAAACTTGTGTCCCCCTCGAAAACAAAATCGACGGGTCTGAGCGATTTTCCAAAACAAAAACTGAGCTGCCAGTAAATGCGTCTGTTTCGTTTTCGATGCGCCACCCTGTATAAAGACATTCCTTAAAGTGGCTTCTCTTGATGTAACTACTGTTTGGTCGTACCTCCGTTTTTATAATAATCATATTCTTCCAGGGATGGCCAGTTGAAGCGAATAAAAGCCAAAAAGGAATGGAAGGAGCGACAACAAGAAGAATTTAGCAAACGTTTAAAGTCAGAATAAGATGAACAATTTTATTCAGTTTCTATTTTGGAAACATGGCTGAATAAATACATATATCATATTTCATATGCATGTACTCAGTTTTTCTCTATTGTTTTCAGTGTTTTCTGATATATGCAACAAAAATTCCCAGCCCAGCCATTGATACTTTCATTTATAATTTTTTGTTGTCCAAAAGTGAACCAAATATTAGTGTAGGTAAACGCACAATCTATGTGTTGTTTTACTAATGAAAGTCTAGTCGTGATGTCTATTTCATTTTTTAAGATAAACTTGTATAAAGAATATATTTTTAACTATTTTATATATTTTTGATGTGCATGGTCCGTGAAATGAAACGAGTTACAAGCGATTTTTCCGTTAGGAGTAATTTTAGAACACAATTCCGAACTATTAATATTGATTATATTGTGTATATTTTGAAAAAATTAGCAGCTGAACATTTCGTAATCAATCATTGTTGATAATTTCCTTCACATACTAGCATTTATTTTTTGATATTATATTTTTGTACATGAGACCAAATTTTATTGAACCAGGGAGGTTTTGTTAGTTGCTTTGTATGAAAATACAATAAATGATAAATATTATTATTATTAGGTTCTAAGCTACTTAGATTGTGAGTATACAGTGTAAATATACTAATATTTTCTACGATTTATTTTTTAAATATCTCTACCCCTTGTAAAAATGCCCATTTACGAGGTGTGTTCAGAAAATAGCCGGATTTTCGTTTCATGAAAAAATATTTATTCGTGTACATTAATGTTGTCGCCTTCAAAATGGTCCCCATTAGATATTATGCACTTAAGGCAGTGCTACTTCCAATCCTGGAAACACTTCTCAAAATCGATCTTTGTCATCATCATTGCAAATAGACCGGGTCTGGCGAATATGGAGGCTGGAGCATCGTTACAGTACTGTTTTTGCAAAAAATTCACCGACAAGCAATGAAGTGTGAGCGGGTGCATTATCGTCATGCTAAAGCCAAGAAGTGTTTTTCCACAAATCGGGGCGGGGCGTCTTTTTTTTATTGTTCCACGCAAACGGCGTTGAAATTGTAAGTAAGTACTTCTTATTGACCGTTTGACCTCATGGCAAGAATTCATTATGCACTATGCCATTATAATCGAGGAACACAGTGTGAGCATCATCTTCACGTTTGACCGCACTTGTCGAGCCTTGTCCGGTCTTTGCGAGCCAGGATGCCTCCACTGGGACGATCCTTAGTTTCGACGTCATATCCGTAAATCCATGTTTCGGCACTTGCTTGAATACATAATTCTGCATGGCCGCTGTTTTTGTTCAAAATACAACAAGTTTGAGCAAATTTTTCTGTCTCGTGTTTCATTCCCAAAACATTAGCGACTTCTCTGATTCTGATTCAGCAATCGTTCATAACCATTTCTTCCACGTTTTAATTTTTCATCGGTTGTTGATGTACTGGGGAGTACGGACGTTCGCACCTACAGCGTCTCATGGTAGGAAACGTTTATACCACTCGTAAACTCTAGTTTTACTCGTAGCAGACCCACCATAGGCCTTTGTCAACATTTCACATACTGCGTTACACTTTCATTTTTTGGCAAAATTTGATACAAATCCTTTGATCCACTTCTTTTAACAAACAAATCGCCGAACTGTTGAAAACACGTCTAACCTTAGCAGCTGCCGCAGACAAAGTAAACAACATAATAGAAAATATTGACACTCTGACTCTCATAGATGGATATCGAAGAGTTGGAGGAATGATGAGCAATAATTCACGTTTGTCAGGCCGCTAAATGAAACCATATATGGTTGGGATACTGTTTACTGACGACTACGTTTCGACTACCACAGCGGTCTTCTTCAAGTACAATTGACAATTCTGGTGACAAAATATTTTGCGTCACCGACAAGCAAAGCCGTCTATCTTTACGAAAACCTAACATAAATTGAAAAAACAAAGACTTAGAAATGAGCGAAATTTATTACATATACCTTAAGGTCAAAACCTTGAACAATAAACTAGTAATATAGCTTTCGTTGGTCCAACTATGGACAGTTGTTTCGTGCTATTTGGCAACTCTTCAGCCTGGTCTTGGTGGACAACGAACGAAAGTTGGGCAACTGTACTCTATACTGAGTATAAAATGTATCGAAATAAGATAACACAAAGTGTCTTTCGATATCCAGAGCCCAGAGGAGATGCCAAATAACACGATACAGCTGTACATGGTTGGCCATCTGTCGGGCCAATGAAAGCTATATTACTAATTTGCGCAAAAGCGAGTAGACCAGTACGGTTATTACGTAAATTGAAAAGTGAAATTTGATAGATTTTTTGTCACATAACGTAGGTCTAAGCTGTAAGATGTATACTATAGCTGGAAGGAAACGGCAGTGCACAGTGAGGATTTGTGTGCTAATAATATATGTTGATGATAATTCCAAGTTTCTTGTCTCAAATACACTTACTTGAGATGTATTCTAAGCTAGAAATTTTGGAAATTATATGTGCAAATTTGCTGAATTTCTAAAATTCATAAGGACAACATATAAATAACCCGTAGGGCATAGCTAATAGATATACTTCATTGGCAGCATATTCAGTAATAATTTTCTCACAGCAAATATCACTGATTTTATACACATGCGACCAATACACATAATCATACAGATAAGGTCTTTCTACTCAGCCAACTTTCTTTCTTTCACATCCTAGAGGTAAACGCTACAGACTACTGGGCTTTCTGCAACCAACAATGCATTTCGTATTGTTGGGTAATTCCTCCATAGATGGACGCTTTTGGTTATGCTCACAGCGAGCAAACGTGGAATGAACTATTTGCATACTAAAAACTACCTAGTAGTAGCATCATTCGAAAACACGGTTATTCAACTTTTTGGAATTTGCCTTTTTAAGTGCCCTCAAAATACCATTCATCAAATGCCTTCTTAGAAACAAACTGATCTTTGATTTGGATTCGACGATAACGAAAACCTGTGTTATATGACGCGCCTGGACCCAAATCGAATGCTATAGACTCATTTTGGATTTGTCCTCGAATTGACCCTCAAACGCCGTTAAAGCGACTTAGGGCCGTATCGTCAGTCGTTCCTACAATTATTGTAGGACGCCTTTATGGCCTCCTTGATTTTCACAGTTTTCTACTGTTCCGTGTCAGCGCTCTATTTTGAGGTTATGTTACAAGTATTCATTTGCATCAAATTGTTCAAGCTTTTGATTTATATCATCTGTTGTATAGCCTGAAATTTCCTTCGATTTAAAAAGACAACATAGCCTCACAATAGGAGGACGCTGACATGTAATAGTAGAGCTCTAGAAATATCCCAGCCTTGCTGAAGGATAGAAAAAACCAAGAAAATCAAGTAAGTGTGCCATAAAGGCGTCCTATACCCTACTTCACGAGTATCCATCACGGTAGAATGACAGTTGATTATCTAGTAATATCTCAAAATTCCCCATATCCGCACAGGTAGAGATGATCTTAGCAGCGACCTTAATGTCGCCGGTAGATTTAGCAGCGCTTTAGGTCACTGCTTATCTATGGTCGCTGCCAGCAGCCAGCGACTCCCTGGCGCTGATTAAATTACTCGATATTTGGCGGCGGTTATCCATTGATATTAACGAGGTGTAGATGTTCAGGTTCCTGAAGATTGGAATTAAACTATATTTAAGGTTTTTGTTTTTAACAATATTGAGCACAAAACACATAAAATCATAAAAATACATAAAATATCTTTCTATGAATCTTAAAAAGTAAAACAAAATACTATTTTACCAGTCAAAATAAAACTTTTAAAACATAACAAATGTATAAAAATGCTTCTTTTATATGTTAAACATTGCTTAATAAACGAAACATTTTTCTATGAAACAGGAACTCACAACAATAACAATAAAAACTAACAAAATAGGTTAGGCTACGCTGTAGCGACCCTGTACTTCCCGCGCGATGTTTGCGAACGCGATGTGTATATGCTTCCTGGCAGCGACCGCGACCGAAACAGCGTTACAGCTACCGATCAGTGGTTACCGATACCGATACTTCCAAACAGCGATCTGGGTCGCTGCTTCATGGAGAATCACGTCGCCGGGACTAACGACGACCATTCAAGTCGCCGGGAAAGGTCGCCGGTACCGATATATAGATCATCTCTACGCACAGGACATAATTCTGACGGATCCGTCCACGTCAGCTAGTCGGAGCCGTATTTTGTTTTGGTCTTTTACACCCTACAGATTCATTTTGTATTTGCTAACAGCTCTTTTATTTAGAAAAGTTCATTTGCGTACAAAAAAACAAAACGCTACAAGCAAGTTTTACTAGATTTACACCCGAGTCATTATTGTCAACGTCGGAGACTAACACAAAAATGCCACTTGCTGATCAGCTGTTCACCTTAGTAGACATCTAAGCGTGATGGATACTCTTGAAATAGGGTATAACAATTGTAGGACGCTTTTATGGCCTCCTTGACTTTCATCACAGATGCGACACCTGCTGTCGGTCCCTTTCATCTTCGTGTCCTCCAACTGCTTACCACATTTCCGGCTTATGTTCATTAGCGTCCGGAGGATTTTTTCCTAGGGGTTGTCACGCGCTATTAGCCTGACGTCACGAATGTCATATGTCAAACTACAAAATGAAATGTGTGTTCATTATTTCCTCAAATGCATTTATGCCAGATAATTGATTTGTATTGATAAAACTGTTTTGTGGTCACGTCACATTCCACGGATAACCCCTAAATGTCACAGCAACAGATATCCCACCAAAGCATACAACTCAAGTTGGCGTTGATAGAACCTGATTTTTGACAGTGTCGCCTCTGGTAGTACTCTGTGACTAAACTACGACTAAAATTTTTGGTCAGTTTTTCGGTGTTCTAGACCACTATGCGCCGCCGCCGTGTCGTCCACTCAGCAAGCGCGGATACTTACAAGTTATGTGCTATGCACTCTCCAGACTCGCGCGCGAATTACCCGTGACCTATGAGTGTGGCTCCCATCCGCGTATTCTTCGCGGCTTCACGTCGCGTTCGCGCGCTGTTCCCCTTTGTTGTCGTTTTTTTGTCCCGCGACAAAGGGTTCGCAAGGCGCGAGCATGACTAAGCTCCTCATTCGCTGGTGTTTTCCGCCTCATAGCGAGTGCCGGGAATGGTTGTGTTTTTTCCACTTATTTCCAATTGCTCTAGTTTTACTTATATATGTGTAATTATAAATTGCCAAAGCGCAAAGTAGCCCTGCAGCAGCAGTAGCAATTTCACCATTCATACTCGTCAAGAGCGCGAACTGTGAAGCAGACGCGATCATCTGCGAGTGTGGAACTGTAGGAACAAATTTCGGAATTCACGCCGTGATCCGCGCGTGAGTCTGGAGAGGGTGCTACAAGCTGGCAACCGAGCGAACTACAGTGATCGCTGGCGGCTGGCGACGACCGAGGAAGTTAGTTTGGGGTGCTAGGAAGCACTCAATCGTTCGGTCATTTTGTCCTTTTCAACTATAACCAATACCCAGGGGTCGGTAACCTGCGGCTCTCTAGTTCACAGTAAATCCTCTCAACACAAATATAAATGAGATCAACATTGAGCCATTTGGAATTAATGCTAATTCGTTTCAAATGCAATGGCTGGTTTTTGTAAATTGTAACTTTTGGTAAAGGTTGCCGACCCCTGACCTAGACGGATCTAATTTTCCTAAAAAATTAACTTGGGGAAAATCAGTGAAGAAACCACCCATGGTGGCTTGGTTTAACAATCCGCCGCATACGGCGCTGCTGTTTTCCCAATGATTCATAAGAATCATTTACGGAATGGTTGAGTGCAGTGGCTTGACTTCTTCTAGTTACAGGGCCTACTATTTTTTTATAGATCAGCCGATTTCAGTCATATTCTACCAAACTACCGATTTTAATACAAAATCTACAGAAAAATTCTTAAATAGTATATTTCTGGCATAATTCAACGAAACACTTTTCCATTGACACATTTTTAAATGGTAGCATCGTTTGAGGCTCCCCCGCGCGCTCTATTTTCGATTACAGGGCTTTGGTACAATCCCTACTTTCTTCAGTAGCTGGTTTTTAGCAATTGATGGCACTTCCGCTCTTCAATTTTCAAAACCAAGCGGACCTTAAGCAAATTGCCCTCCTCTTAAATTTTCATTCACCGGAAAATTTCTCCTTTTTGATATCCACCGAAATTTGCAAAAAAATTTCGCACAAAACTACCGAAGTCAGATGTACTAAAGGGTGTTTTTTTTAGAGGCGGAGAACTTTCATTTGGCAACACTGTTTTGTGTGACAGCTGATCTGACAGTTCTGGGTTGTTTTTAGGTTAGTTTGGTTTGGCAATTCATCATGAATAGACTGACGCCGGAGGCCGGAGCAACGTTTGCAAATTGTTCAAATTTATTTTGAAAGACATGGTTCAATTCGAGAAACACATCGGGCATTACGTGAATTTTATGGTATAATCGTCCTTCAGAGCGATTAATTCGAGAAACTGTTGATCGTTTTCGCAATACTTTTACTCTAATCGACAATACGCATCCCGTAAGGTAGAAAACAGACGGAGCGACTTTCGTCGACTCGACCGTCGAGTCGACGGTCGAAAAAATTGTTCAAACGGGGCGACCACTTTCGTCGAGGAGGCAGTCGCGTGTCGTATCCGCGGTAAGCTCGACGCGGCCCACGGTCCCTGGCAACGAGAGCAGGTTTGCTAGTAGTGTTCAATCAAAAAAGCAATGGACCTAGACCTAGACGATGAATATGTAACTGTACTGTACTTGATTTACCGGAGACGAATGAAGAAAAAAAAGGGAGGCGTCTCTGGATTCATCCAATTATTTCACAGCGCAAAGAGAAAGGCTTTTTTACTATATTGTGGCCACAGCTAAAACAGGACGAAGAAAAATTTTTCAATTTCACAAGAATGTCCCAGTTTTCTTTTTATGAACTTCTCACTGCTATAGAACAAGAATTAAGAAAAGAAAATACTGTTATGAGGTCTGGGTCTATTTCGTGTGCCATCCCTAAAATCTAAATGAATACAAAATTAAAAAAAAGATATTGTTTCAAAATAAATATCTTTTAATTTGAGAAGATAGCGGAATTTATAAAATCCGTGATCCAACATATTCCATCGCGTGATTCAGTACTTACGTGTGTGAATTTCGAAATAAAATGCGTCTGAATTGATACACTTCAGAACATGGCATGATGTGTCGATGCCGCGTCGAGTGCCGCTGCAAAGTCGCGGGGAAATCATATGTCGAGTCGACTTCAAGCGGCGGGGCGCCGCGTCGAGTATCTGTGTGTTTCATTATATATAAAGTTATTTACACCATGCGTCGATTCGACCGCCGACTCGACGGTCGAGTCGACAAAAGTCGATCCGTCTGTTTTCTACCTAAGACGCCGTACAGTGCGCACGCAACAAGCGATAGCTGCTGTGCAGCGTAGTGTTGATAATGATGCCAATGTGTCAATTCGTCGTCGTTCTCATCAAGTGAATTTGTGTCCATCCACTGTATGGAAAATTTTGCGCAAAGATCTTGGGTTGCGAGCATATAAAATTCAACTAGTCCAGGAGTTGAAACCCCGGGATCATCTATTGCGCCGTACATTAGCTGAATGGGCGGAAGGAAAGATTGCTGTTGATCCAAGATTTCATATGAAAATTTTGTTTAGTGATGAAGCACACTTTTGGTTAAATGGCTATGTAAACAAACAAAATTGCCGAATTTGGGGTGATGAGAATCCACGAGCTATTGTCGAAACACCTTTACATCCAGCAAAACTAACCGTTTGGTGCGCTTTATGGGCCGGTGGAATCATTGGTCCTTATGTCTTCAGAAATGCTGATGGTCAGAACGTTACAGTAAACGGTGAGCGATACAGAAACATGATTACTAACTTTTTTGTGCCTCACTTGGAAGGTGTTGCAGGCATTGCAGAAATGTGGTTTCAGCAGGACGGTGCCACATGCCATACAGCGCACCAAACAATTAATTTACTGCAAGAGACATTCGAGCAACGAATCATTTCCAGAAATGGACCTGTAAACTGGCCACCTCGTTCGTGCGACTTGACGCCATTAGATTATTTTCTTTGGGGCTATGTTAAGTCGCATGTCTACGCTGATAAACCCGAAACACTTGAGCACTTGGAAGCCAACATTCGGCGCGTGATTGCCGAAATACAGCCTGCAGTACTGGAAAGAGCGTGTGAAAATTGGACCTCTAGATTACGCCATGTACGCGCAAGTCGTGGGGGTCACATGCCCGAAATCATATTTAAATGTTAATGCCAAAAAATTATCTTCAATATAAAAGCAAATTCGTTAATATCAATAAAATATTTTGTGTTTTATTTCAATTCAAAGTTCTCCGCCTCTAAAAAAAAGACCCTATATAATTGGCAACACTGATGCAGACTTATCTGACTTCTTGACGTCACCGTCACGACGTCATCGAAAACAACAACATAACCTGAAACCTGACTTCAAAACAAGAAAAAATGTAAAAAGCTTCTAAAACTATAACATTTAATATAATTGGACATTAAAGACTCAGAATGACGGATTTAAAGAAAGACCTCGATGAGTATTTACTTCTCCAGAGTGATCAAAAAAAGTCGTTTAAAATACAGATGCCTCAACTGCAAAAGCCAAATATTACAGGTTGGTTTAAAAAAGAGCAACCCGAGGAAGAAGAAACATGGTTTAGGGAAACAAAAAGGGAATGTTGCCCTAGTTTGGTGAGCCATTAATTGTCTATAACATCCATAAGATGAAAAAATGTTTTTGGTATTTACAGTCGAGGTTCCAAAGGATAGCAATGTTTGGCATCTGTGTAGCAATGGGAATACTATGTTTCTCCATTTCCCTAATGTACATACCCATGCTACTATTTAAGGCTAGAAAGTTTGCATTACTTTTTACATTGGGCAGCACATTCTTCATTATGAGGTAACTGATTTAAGCAAATACATATTTTAGTGCTTAGGCACAGCCAACCTTTTCTGGAAAAGTTATGCATACCATACAAATTGATGGGGAAAAATCGGTTTCCTAAAGAAAACATTTACACATTTATTCATAAAGTACATAATGTTAGTTTGCATCACAGTTTTATTGAGCCATGAGCATGTCACTGTTTATCACAAGATGCTAATCAAATATTGAAGGATAAGTCTAGGACTACAAATAGATTTTATTTCCAGTTTCCTCTTCTTATGGGGACCTATGGCATTTCTGAAACACATGTTTGCCAAAGAAAGATTACTACTAACTGTAACCTATGCAGGCACCCTATTTGCAACTTTGTACTGTGCTCTTCATCTTCAAAGTACTCCCTTCACAGTATTATTTGCTATAGCACAGATAATAAGTTTGCTATGGACAGTGATAGCCAGTATACCAGGAGGAACAGCTGGTATTTCATTTTTTTCAAAAATGTTTAGCAGATCTGTTAGCAGTACAATGCCAGTTTAGTGTTTGGATATTTGTTAATCAAGTATTGAGAAAGTATTGCTATTTTGTATTTACATATAAAACAGTTTGCTAATTTGTGTAAAAGTCTGTTTTTTCTTTTACAGCAGTATCGTTATCTTTAACCTCGCATGACCATATAATTTAAATATATCAGAAATGCAACTATTTCCATTAAAGTCTTTTTTATATCTTTAGTCTGATTTCTGATATTTCCCAGCATCATGAAAATTACCATACAGCTCTCGAAACTGCATTTCTGCAATAATATTTGTTACCATACAAAAAACTTGCGATCACCAACATATACATACATGATTTGTGCTATTTTATCATATCACCCTGATACAGGGTACAATATTTGTAAAAGAGAATTATTTGTAGTAGCACTCAACCACAACAGCAAACAAAATTATTATGTTTCTTATCTCAATATCAGCAGTTAGCAAAACATTTTTGTATGGAATTTGCTTATCGTTTATGAATCTAGGTTCCTTTTGAAATATGAATATTCATTAAAATATATTTAAATTTAACCTGTGTAATTATGTGGCTGTTTTATACGAGACTTTGAATAAAAAAAAATAAAAATATATATATACACAATATTTAAAATGTAAAAATGTATCCAAATTTTCAGCTTCATATCATACTCTAACAATATAGTATTTCTTGGAAGACTAGCAGTGGCCTCGTCAGTAGGTTCATGAGAGAAAATATATACAATAGAAATGTTAACACCCAGTAATAACATACTAAAAAACAATAACGGCTCGTGAAGTGACTAGAAATGTGAGTTCCAGGTTCTTAACTGATACTCTATAACAATAACAAACTTACAAACCTCACAATGATTAGGAGTTTTAGAAATATTTTGGCATTTTTTAGTATTCTTTTGATAGTAAGAAAGTATCACCATAAATCATCCATATAAAAATAGCAGCATGAATGTTCATGACTAAAGATCATAAAACATGATTGAAACCTATCAACACCAATATATAGTTGCAGTCTATCACCCACAAAAGAATGCAAAGTAAAATTCAACATACCCCTATTTTCAGGACACTTGGGAATTAAAACCCATATATTGTAAAATCATTACAATGTTTAATTAATTAATCCTAATACAAGTTTTAGCTATCAGATGTTTTTTTGCGTTTTCGATTATGATACTCTTCAGGATGTCGATACGACACATGTTTCCTAAGCGCGTCCCTACTTCGGGACACGTGTGGACAAGACTGACAGGCGTGGTAAGCTTCTTCATGTGTCTCCATATGCACCCGCAAATTGTACTGATTGCTGAGGTATTTTCCGCACAAGAAACACTTGCAGGTCTCTGAGGATTCGCGAGGTGTCATTAGAGGTAGCTGCCTTCGACCTGGAGCCATAGCAGGGTATGGCGGGAATGGTGGGCAGCAGTCTTCGTCTGATTTTATAGGGGTTGGAGGGTCATTTATCGCTGGAAAAGTGCTAATATTGAAGTCATCTAGTCAAATCAACATATACATTAAAGGTATTAAAGGTACAAAACAACCTTTTACTTAGCTGTAGCATGAACTAAACATTTAAAATTTCCGATTCGAACTATTTAAACTATAATAAAGCCCCTTCACCTCAAGCTTCCAAATAAAAGAGTGTTAAATCCTTTTCCCATCCAGCTGTCAAAACGTAACACGCTTTTATTTGAAAACTTGAGGTATCGGAGCTTCATAATCATAATATTTTCAATGTTAAAACATTTTTAAATATTCAGTTTATATTATTTCTTGCTTTTCAGTATTTATGATGTCAAATAACTAGTATGGTTATTTCTATATAACTCTAATGTATCTTATTAACAGGACTCCATAGAACTTCTTACTTTATTTGTATTATAGAATTTCGTTAGATATAAATCATATAATGATAAGTCGACATTTTGTGGCGATCACCACATGGAATTTAGAATAACGTTATTTGCTTATCATGTTTCTATCAGAAAGCCCTTTCATTTGATACCCATATCAAAGCGGTGACCATGGAAATTATAAAACGCGGCCGCCATATTGGATTTAGAATGATATCGCATTGCCCTGTTCTGTTTCTCTCATAAAGCCCTTCAATTTGATACCTATATCATAGGGGTAGCTATGATAAACGCCATCTTAAGGCGGTGGCCATATTAGATTTAGAATGACTTTGCTTTGCTTATTGCGTTTCTCTCATCAATCCCTTTTATTTGATACCCATGTCGAGGAGTGACGATGCAATATGTAAATCGCTATTATGCGGCGGAGGTCATATTGGATTTGGAATAACATCACTTTGCTTGTGTTTTTCTCATCAAGCTATTTTATTTGATACCCATACCATAGGAGTTATTATGGAAGTGATGAATCGCCATTTTGTAGCATCCGCCATATTGGAATTAAAATAGCGGCAGTTAATTCATTTTGTATTGTCACGTGTACATAAAATTCCAGCTAAATTGGTTAATGTTAACTGGGTCTAAATTCAGTTCCAAGGTTTGCCCACACATACTACTAACATTCTAGCAAACAGGTCAAGTTAAATAAAAGCTTATAAAACGCAGGACCTCAAATGCCCGAATAGATTGTATTGTAACTGAGAAGATTCTCAACTACTTTGACTGTCAAGCAATAAAGTCACGTAGATTGACTCAGTAATATTAATTCTAAGAGTTATTAGCAAAACATGAAACATGACTAATTTTAAATGTTTTGACCCTCCAGCCGTAAAACGATGCATTGACCTCTGACCCCTTCAAGAAAAATTTATTGATTACGCCCAAATATGATCAGAAACAAAAAACCTTTCAACAACTTCGTCAAACACTTGATCGACCTACTCCAGAAATTTCAGCAACCTTACATACGATATTTTCTATAGCCAATCCACTATTCTCTTGCATCTGGTTCTTGTAGATATTTAGAATAATTTGTTTTTCACCTGCGCTAAGATGAAGCTTTTTAGCCCTTTTGCTGGGTGGCGTTAAGCTGATTTCAACCACTTCATCAGCTGTATCTGTGTCAGACATTTTAGACTAATATTAAATTTCCGCAAGAAAAATCAAGTCAAGACGTGCATAAAACGTTCGCGCTCATAAACGGGTATCCGTAACTGATTACAATCCTGTGCGTGGTGACGAACCATCAACGTGACGCTGAGAGTTCCCTCTACTATGCAGCGTTGCCAGGCTTAATGTCACAATGATCATGTTTTATTGGGAAAATTGTCAGAAATCGCCGAATGTTGAACATAAACATTACAAGAAGTCTAACCTTGAAATGTGAGGCTACAAATCGATATTCTTATAGGGGGGAAGGGTAGGGAGCTGTTATGGTTCCTATTAACCTTGGTGAAAGTTGGAAACGGTAATATCATATATGGCATACATTCGGTTGAAGGTGTGTACACGGAAAATAGATTGCGGATAGGATTTTAATAGATAAATCTGCACAAAAAAAACACAAAAGGAGATTTTTGTATTTCCCTGAAGAATATCTCAAGGTTATTTCAGATGTACTCATCGAAACTTTATGGAAGGATTATCGAAACCTTATTTTCAATTGCGATAGGGCCACATACCTCGACATCGCATTAATGTGAAAAATAAGACAATAGAAAAAAATTCCCTCACTGATGCTATCTCTTAGGAAAAATTTAACTATAAAGATTGCACAAAAATTTTCTTCACCTTTTTAGCTTGTTTTCGCATCTCCGTATATGCCGTTCATAATTTGCTGCAGAGCAAATTGGAATATACCTTTGTGATGCCATTAATTGTTATATAATGTCCTTTACAACAGTTATTGCACGTATTGCACCAACAGATTGATTTGTGATCCATGCGAATGTGATCAACCACTCTGGCGAAAACTCGCCGAGCGTGGCAACCGTGCGACTTTGTCTGGAGGCTCGTCGCTACAAGCCAATCAGGAAGAGGCCGACAGAACGCCATGGCTACCGATCACGCGTTGATCACGAATCAACCACTGTTTACGATTACTTTGTAGCTTCGTTAGATACACTTTAGATTCAAGAGTTTGAAATAGTTCCAATGGAATTTTTCATAAGTTTAGTCAAGCTACCAATCAAAAACGATTGTTTATTCTTGAAAATACTCTGAACTTCAAAGCTTTCTGCAGTTGTTTTGTAACGTAAATGCCTGACTGCTCTAATTTAACCGACTTACATATATAGCTGATCATTTTCGAGATCTTATCAGTGAGTGTGGGTCAATCTTTTAAATATCCAGTATTGGCCACAACTCAAAAATATGAATTAACTGTGGATACTTCATAGAGTTTCCTACCTGGTACAGTCTTATTATCATCCATTTGATGTGGTAAACTGTGGCTCCTGTTGTAAGCCGCGGTAACTTGGCTATCTTTACTTAAATCTTGTACGGCATGCATATCTTCATTGGTTTGTCTTTTCAAATTAATACTTTCAGGTTGTTCTTGCCTACTAACGTAGGTTTTGTAAAGAGCATTTTCGTAGGTATCACATATTTGTTCGTTCGTCAGCGTGTCGCATCTGCCTGTGCCCCGTTCTTGGACACATTCGTCTCTATCTGGTGCCAAAGAGGTTTGTACTTGTTTTTCAGGTACCTGAAAAAGCAGCAATTATACATTTTTTTCCTGAAATGATGGTACACAAAGCTTTAGAAAAGCGAACAGTGGTGAAAATAAGCCTTTTAGGTCACACCAAAATAAACAGCAAAATTGCCTCCTAGCCTAAGTGATTAACTTCTTTTCCTCTTCACTCCCTTTTTGATTTTCCCTTTCTCTCCTTAAAATTTAACCAATTTTTGGCAATTTTTGAATGGTATTATTGTTATATCTGCTGTTTTTTTTCGTTTTATTGCAATTATAATGGAGGAGGGTCAGTTTTCGTATATATCAGAAAATAAGAATATATGGATTGGATACAAAAAAATGGACAGGATTGATGTTAAATGTAAATTTACATTGAAGATATCAATGTAGTTGACTGTTATGCATGACCTACATTTTGTCATAAAACATTTTTTAATGTACAAAAAATAACCGCTTGAATGGCTCAATTTTGGAACACAATCCTGTTAGTGTGACCAGCATAGCTTGGTATACTTATTCTCTAAAGCAACCCTAATACAAAATTTAGTGGATTTTGGTCCAACAATCTTGGTGGCAATGGAATAAAGCCGCGCAGCCTGATCCACCTATATGAATGTTGCATTTTTAGCTGAAGTGGTCTATTTAATAAAAAATTAGACTTTGGCATGACTTTTATGTGGGTTTTGCGCCACCTCAAGGAAAACTAATGATGATCGAGATAAAATGCTTAATTCTGAGTATTCTAAAACAAAGCTGGTTCAAAAAAATTATATTTGTAGAAATTGCAAGGTATTAACTGATGTAAGTCAGTTTTTTGTTAAATTGAATGCTGAAAATCACTAAAACTGTAAGAATTTTAATAAAACAACATTTTACCATCTAGTAGGCCATGACGTTACCTATCTACAGTTGCAGGAGTATCATTCAATTTCGGGACACCCTGTATATTATTAATATTATATTCTCATATTCGCATCAGTCTTCTCAGAGAAAATGCATACATCAAATGGTTGTCTTTACATGGTGGATATACAAGATATTTACTGGGTGTACAGATACATCCAATGGATATTCAGATGTCCGCCTGTATCCAAAAATCTGAATTGTACAATACTGATGTTATGTATTTAACATACGCAACGGATATCCAGTGGTCCGTCAAAGAAGCAACTGATGGCTGGCATTTCGTTCCAAATGCTCTTAAATCGCATATTCTTAGAACGTTCGTCTGGAGAATATGCTTTAAAGGGGTGTGAAGCTATGAGAACATGCTTTATTAAGATCTAAAACGTACATTCCAAGAATGTGAATATACCTTTTCATGTTTACTGGGTAATGGCCAATTTGATATTTGACACACTAGGTATATTTAGTGGAGCTAATCATCTGTGGCTCTATATTTAAAGGTAATTTCGGGGGGCGATAGAGAATAATTGTTTCTTATAGTGTGTGTGTAGATGAAATAAGTTTGAGAACCACTGCTCTAAAATATAGAATTGCAATCAGAACATAAGTACTGGGGTCTTTTAGACTATAAATATTCATAGGATTATTACAGACTATTTGAAAATAAAAAAAGTTCTCCCAATGCTAGAATATTTAATAAAACAATTATTATATTCCTATCATTTGTTTATATAGTTGGAAACTTCGATAAGATTATTATCTGGGTCCCTAAAATAAACCGACAAAATAGGTCCTTCTGCCCCGGTCCTCTCGACAGGGCCTTCTTCAATCACGACACCCTCTCTCTCAAATATTTTTTGCACTACGTCAAGAGGGGTATCAGCTATCAGACAAATATCACCGGAACCAGGTGTCGGTTTTGAAGCTTTAGGTTCAAATTCGTGTCCAAATTCATGCAAGTTAATTTTCTGCTGGCCAAATTTCAGTGCCTTGCGCCCCTTGAATTCAACCAACTGCATGCCCAATACTCTGGAGTAGAAATCACATGTTAACTGGATGTTTTTAACTGTCAACACGAGATGATCTAACCGATTTATCGATATAGCTGACATTTTTGTTCGATCTTGTTATATTCGTAAAAGTATGCGAACGGTAGAGTGATAGAATCTCACGATATTATAAATTATAAAGCACATGCTTCATGATAATCAAATGATTATCTAATCGATGATTTTATAGCCATTATCTACCATACAACTATTTTTCATGAGCATCCATTACGTAAACCGTGACAGTCTGACACCAAATAACAGTTGATTGTCTAGTAGCATTTCAAAATTCCCCATATCGAGAAGTGAGGGATCCGCCAACGACGGTAGACAGAGTCGTATTTGGGTTGTTTTTTTGTAATCTATAGATTCAACCACTGGCGGATTTAGAGGGGGGGGAGGTGTCCTCGATAAAAATTATCTCGAAAAATTATTCATATATTAAGACAATTCATAGGCCAGACCAAATTTACTGAGCGAACTTCTAAATGGGTAGCAGCCAAAAACCAGATATTTAAAAAATAGATTTCAGCCCTTAGGGAATAGGTGTCCTTGATGAAAAGTATCTCGAAATATTATTCATACATTAAGACAATTTATGGGCCAGATCAAATTTACTGAGCGAATTTCTAAATGGGTAGCAGCCAAAAATCAGATATTACAAAAATCGATTTCAGACCTTAGGGAATAGGTGTCCTCGATGAAAAGTATCTCGAAAAAATTTTCATATATTAAGACAATTTATGGGCCAGATCAAATTTACTGAGTGAACTTCTAAAGGGGTAGCAGCCAAAAACCAGATATTAAATAAATCGATTTCAGCCCTTCGGGAATAGGTGTCCTCGATGAAAGGTATCTAGAAAAATTTCGAGATAGTCGAATTTTTTAATATCTGGTTTTTGGCTGCTACCCATTTAGAAGTTCGCTCAGTAAATTTGATTTAGCCCATAAATTGTCTTAATATATGAATAATTTTTCGAGATACTTTTTATTGAGATATTCCCTAAGGGCTGAAATCGATTTTTCTAATATCTGTTTTTTGGCTGCTACCCATTTAGAAGTTCGCTCAGTAAATTTGATCTGGCCCATAAATTGTCTTAATGCATGAATAATTTTTCGAGATACTTTTCATCGAGGACACCTATTCCCTAAGGGCTGAAATCGATTTTTTTAACATCTGGTTTTTGGCTGCTACCCCTTTAGAAGTTCGCTCAGTAAATTTGATATATCCTATAAATTGTCGTAATATATGAATAATTTTTCTAGATACTTTTCATCGAGGTCACCTATTCCCGAAGGGTTGAAATCGATTTTTTGTTTATCTTGTTTTTGGCTGCTACCCCTAAAGGTTCTCTCAGCTACTTTATTCTGGCCATAATTGTGTCCCTAACTAGTGTTATAAGAGCATATTATTCCTTCTGACCGATGCCACTGTTCGTTCGGGTAACTTCGGGAAATTGTCTGCTGAAATTTGGCTGCTAACCTCACACCGGTAGTACCGATTGCCGGGTGGCGGTACAAGTCCGCCAACGGGCCACTTTAGGTCTATTTAATATCACTAACACGCAAAAAAAGGTGGTAGACAAGGATCAGTCGACCGAGGCGGTACCACCCTTTATAGCTTTTCCCAGGGTGTGTCCTGTCTCCCTTGGGTAACTCATACCACTGTGTTGTGGATATTAGGTTTCGGTCAGAACCCGCTATTTCAGCAGAAACTCGCACAGGCCCCAAAATTTGGGATTACGGACATGCCGACTGGGAGGGACTCAGAGACTTCTTCTCTACCTTTCCTTGGAGAAATGTCTGTTTCACTGACGTGGATACGTCGGCTGTCTGTTCTTCGATAACCGAAATTATCCACGTCGGAATGGAGGAATACTTGCCTCATACTGCTGATATAATAGAAGTGCTTGATTGTGTCAGTATTTGCACCATTTACTTGATTTGTTTAATGGCAGTTCAGAGTCTTAATCCTTAAGCTTATTACATTGCGTAATTTGTCTATAGGCAGTCTGGAGACGGTCTCAAGACACGATCTACGTATAGATGATCTACAGACATCCTTCTTTGTCTTGTTTAGCGTCCATACGATAATGTGAATTTTTTGGTCTCATGTTCGTTTTCGCAATCAAAGACATTGTTTTGTGTGGAATGAACTGGAATATGTCTCGGGGTCCCTCAAAACGTTTTATTTTTTGTCGGTTAACAGAGCAATGAAGTTTTTTATGTTTGAAACTTTAATATTATTACACAAGTTAATTATAAATGCCACGTACTTATTTTGTTCTCATATAATAAAATATTGGCTTTCTGAGGATTTCTGAGTAATTTCCATGTTTTTTTTAAGCTGGCCTTGAACAGATAGAACACAATGGATTTAAGGAGCAATAATAGGATAAATTCTAGAAGTTCCACTGAGGTTAAAAAATGACCAGCCCCAAATATCGTTTGCGCCCCCCCCCCTAAACGAATTCCTGAATCCGCCCTTGAATTCAACGCATTCATTTAGAAAAGTACAGGGCGTCTGGCAGGGGTATTATGTAAAACAGCTAAAAACATCAAAAAAAAAACGACGAAATGTTATCTTGCAGACTAGGTAGTTTTTAGTATGCAAATAGTTCATTCCACGATTGCTCGCTATGATCGCTGTTCGCTAACGCTTTAGCAACATGTACGGCTACAAAACGAGTTCAAAACAAGTCTACAACAGTTTGAGCTAAGTTAACATCTTGTAGAAAAACCTACGTTATGTCACAAAAAACCTACGAAATGTCATAAAATACCGACAAATTGTCACTTTCCAAGATACGTGATACCCGTGCCGGTGTAAATTGACCCCCCACCATATAACCTTTTTATATGACCTTCCCAAGAAAAAGTTTTATATAGAAATTATAGGGTCTAATATGAAGTTTTTCATGTAATATTTTTTTTGTACAGTGTCTCAGAAAAGTGCTATCGAATAAGGTTGTATTTTTTTAAGTGGAACTCCCTGTATAATTTTCATTGAAAATGAGAGTCTGTCTTATTTTTCCTGATACGAAATACATAGGATTTATTATCATTTAGTTTGATCAGTTTGGCCAAAAACAAAAAGTTTGTTCGTCATTTACCCATCGGAGTTCGATCGAACAGTTTGCATCTAGCCGCAAATGCAATCTGGCATAGGGCCGCCGGATACATAAGATTGAATGACACACACACACTTCAAGTTTTTGACTACAGTAATAGAAATGAGTTTTTCAAACCATACAAACTTGGAATCAGAAAAGAAGGGACTATCATTTTCACATTTAAAAAAAAATCAACTTCATTCGATAACACTTTTCCGAGACACCCGGTATATATATATATATATATATATATGTAATGGATTCTCGTGAAAAATAGTGTGTGTTCAAATAAAAAAAAACTATGGGATTGTCACATCTTTTCAATCTAAGAATCTCGATAAGCTGTCTTGTCCATTGATCTAGATCTAGAGGGAAGTTGGAACCATTTATGACCAGTGTTATAACCTTGTTTGCAACACTTGGTTTGGGAAGACAATTTCTGATGGTATCACGATGGTATATGTATACAGTGAAATACATATAGCACTGACGTCGTAATGCGTACGAGAGAGAAGCGCGGGAAGCGTGCAATACATGTGTTAGAAAAAGATAGAAGAACCTCTTTGCCTAGCACTCTTTCTAACATACATATTGCATGCTTCTCGCACTTCTCTCTCGTACATATTACAACGTCAGCCAAATTTGATCCACATCATACTTAACTTACTTTCATATCACACAGCCCTTGAACTTTGAGTAATTTGGCAACAGACAGTAAACTCGGAAGTTGTTCTTGCGAAACAACGCACTGGCCTCTGTACATGAAGGACAATATTGCCTTCACTTCATCAAAACTCACATTATGCAGAACCACCACTGGATGCGTGGATTTCAACTCCTGCAAGAAAGAAAAATGTAAATAACCCCCTATGTTTGTCTGGACAATCAAACCACATGTGTTTAAAATTCTCCTTTATTGTATACGTTTCGGTCCCATATTGACCTTCTTCAGTACAATTGACAAAAAAGTATCAAAACACTTGTGGTTTGATTGGCCAGACAAACATGGGGCATTATCGACATGAAAACAACAGGATAAGTTTCAGATGTTATATTAGAAAAATGTAAATCTTGACAGGTCCAGGAATTTATAGTAATGCAAAATACATTTCTCATGATCTGTTCAATAGCATAAAAAACTTTACTAGTGTTTCAACTGGTTTGTCAGTTCTTAAAAACAACATTTACCAGATTATATCTCCCACCTATAATCCAGGTAATCTGGTGAAAGTGATAGATACGTAACATGTAGGTATATTCAGAATTGTAAGAGGACCAAATATTTGGTGAAAATGCCTATTTTTCACTAATAAATAATAGATGCGGAACTTTTCTTTCCTGACAAGACCCATAATCTTGCAGAATGTAGAGAGAGCATCCCTTTTTGACACATTTTAACCGAATATTTTGTCCCCTTACAATTTCGCCCAACGATTTTGCTAGTTTTTAGGCTACTCTGAAAAGCCAGCATTTGTGAATGAGTGAATATCCAAACTCTTAAACTTATTGTATTTAATCGCAAAATAATAGTATGTGTAGTTGACTTTTCTTGAAATAAGTTTTCAGTAATGCGAGTTAATGAGGGTTATTTTACTTGACACAATTCTTCGTGAGAAGAAACAATGGTGTCAAGTAGGGTGACTCTGTACTTTCCACGCAATTCTGGACAAATGGACTTTGAATATGCATCTGAGTCAAATTTTATATGCTCAGGTATCTTTATTGTTTGCCGGCTATGAAAATCCTTGTGCACTGGCAGTGAAAAAATCATTGTTGGTTTGGAAAAAATTGAAATCATGGGATTTGAATACGCATGACCTGAATCAACTTTCTTTCGTTCTGGCAGGTTTACTTTTGGTCGCCTATCGAAACCCTTGCAGCGTGTATGACATGTCTCAATCGTCTTTTGTTTTCCCGCAACCTGCCTCAACTTTCATTTCTTTTATGGCTGCCATATTGGATTTTTCGATTTTTGAAAAGAGCGTAAAATTTCCAGCCTAGTGATGTCTCACAAGTGCATAAAAGATTGGAGTATCATCGAAATATCGTCACACGTAATGTTATGCATGCATTTTTTTTCTAAGGAGGCCATGATTTATTTGTCAGAAAATAAAATTAATAAGTAACGGATTTTTTTCATCTAAGGAGGCTCTGACTTAGACTTAAATAAGTCACAGTATTAAAACTGTGTTTTAATAAGTAGTAGGTACGTGTTCTCTTATCAAAATCATTAATCTGACAAAAAAATTGTCAAAACATGTTGAAAGTGGCCGGTATTCCCTACTCAAATGTCAGCTCTGTACTTGCAGTCACACAGAAGCCCCGTCATTACTTCAGCAAGGTACTTGGAGATGTACCCCGAACGACGGCAGCCTCATGAAACCTAATTTTGAAAAATAGTAGTTAATTAAATAAACCTAGAAGCGGATACAATATTGAAAATGAAAATCGCGACAGAAAAATTTTACAAGCTGTCAACGAAATCCTTAGTGCATCAGTAAGAACTATAGAACGAGAAATCTTTGTGTAACAAAATCAACAGTACAGAGAGCGTTAAATAAGAATAACTACCATACATATTAACCTACCATAGTTCAAGGACTTGAGGGAACTGATTTTTCAAGGACAAGGCGCTTCTGAGAGTGGTATACTAGGAAGTCTAATAAAAATCTCGATATTGTAAATCATGTCTTGTAGCCCGACGAGAGTAGGTTTAAGAATTGTGGGGTTTTTAATAAGCAGAACACTCTTCATTGGGCTGTGGAAAACCCTTTCAAAGTGTCAGAGAGACGTCTACAGACCAGATTTGGAACTAACGTTTGGTGTGGGGTCATTGGTAATTTAATTTAACTTACCTTTTTTAATTGGGCACCTATTTGTGGTAGGTATTAATCATTTCAGGAAATCGACTTATAGGACCATTTTTGTTTAACTACAGCCTAAACGGACAGAGGTACCTAGACCTTTGTCGAAACCAGGTTGTGCCGGCTTTACGACCAACGATGAGTTTAGAAGAACCTGGTTTCAACAGGATGGATGTCCGGCTCACAGCACCATTCAAGTTAGGAACTTTTTAAGAGAGCAGTTTGATGAAAGAATAATTTCATTAAATGGTTCAATATCTTGGCCTCCTAGATCCCCTGACCTTTCACCCTTGTATTTCTACCTCTGGGGTCATTCAAAGAATGAGGACTATGAATTTGATCCTCCCGCGACCTTAGAAATCCTGAGACAAAGAATTTTGAGCACAGTTAGAAATATCAACAGAAATACACTAGCTAAGATTGTACGAAAAACAATTGTCAAAAATGTCTGGATTCAAATGGACGTTCTTTTGCAAATCTGTAAATTAATACCCACTTACATAATTACTCATTACTCATTAATGTTATTTTCTGACAAATAAGTCATGGCCTCCTTGGAATAATAGAATTCAATATGGCGGCCATAAGAAAAATGAAACTTGAGGCGGGTTGCTGGAAAACAAAAGACGATTGAGACATGTCATATGTGCCATCTTATTTTTCTTAAAAAACTATCCGAATTTTGACAGCTGTCAAATTAACCGTTTTGGATTTACTGGCAAAAAACAAATTCGACAATTTTCAGTTTTTAGCTGATATTTTCAGAACCAATTGACCGATCGTAAATCTGAAGCTGGCTATCGAATGCACTAAGTTTCCTCTAAAACTGTCCCCATTTAATCTTTGCTTTAGGTATAACAGCAGCAGAGATCCCTGTATAGAGAAGCGAATCTGGGACACACTGTATAGGGTAACATACGTGTTAAATATGCCTAATAGGCGCGTAGAATTGCTGGGGTTAGACATTCATAAATAAAGCTATACACCCTGACCCAGCCGCCCACCAATTTTTTGCGCTAAAAATGTTTAAAAAATGATCGAGACCAAAAAACGAAGTTTGAGCGATTTTTACTCTCTTACCAATTTCAAAAACTATAAAGCTTAGTCCGTAGCGTATTAGTAACCTTATGTAAAATTCCCGTCCAAATTCAAGCAGCACTTTCCAATTTACAGCCTGGTCACGTGATTTTTCGTGATGTACTCGTACATGTCATATATAACATCCAAAAAACAATATCTCATTTTCCGCGATTACAATGCTTCCTTGCCCAGTGGCTTAGGAAGCAAAAGGTAATATAGATACTCCAGGTGAGAGGAAGGTCGCACATGCCTGTTTTCACTTTTTTTTTTTTTGAAGTGCCTGTTTCCGGCCGTATTATAAATCCTTTTCCTGATGTGTATAGAAATGATCAAAAAACAATATTATAAATTGTTTTGTACAAAATGCAGTTTTTGTGCATTTTTTCTTCAAACCGTAACTTGCTAACAAATACAGGGTGTTTCAGAACTATGGGATCAAACTTGTAGGGATTATTCAGTGTAACAGTAGAAAAAATTTGAGTATAGGGGCACATATCCGGAAAAGTGTCACTACGGCCCTAAGACGTGTTAAAATTTAGAAAGACGATGAATTGCCTAAATAGGATTTAATGCATTTAATTTTTGCCTTTTGTACATGATATCATCACAACAATTGTTCAAAATGTCTTCCTCCAATCTTGAAAATCAAAATTTTTGCCACAATCATTGACTTCAAATGGTGTAGGTTTCACACGGCAATTTTTCAATTCATCTCTCCAGTCATCCGGTACCTCAGTGTATGCTCTTTGGTTCACGAGACTCATATCTCTATCACACTCGAGGTATGAATGTCCCCTGATCGGGAATATTACTTTCACAGTAGTAAAAAGATTTTTCTTGGTAACCAAGTAATGCAAAAACCGAATAACTGTAAAGTTTTTATTTTGCCCTGCAGCCTGCACAGGAGTCACAGAAAATGGCCAGTTCTTTTACTTCCATAGGCAGGATGTTATAAAAAAATTGATACAGTATAGAACAGACATCGTCAGCTCCTTTGTTAGCAATAGATTCATCGTAGGTATGAAAGAATTTGAGTTTGACAGATTATGGATGTTAAAACTGATGAAATTTAGTTGCCGCTTATAGTAAACATCATTTGTGGTAATATTTGGACAGGGCAAGTTTTTTTGGTAATCCATCGTGATACTTTCGATAGCGGGGAACTTCGAGACACGTTTGCGGTAAGTTCTCTTTAGACTGTAAAATCGCTCACTCCTTGTTTGATGTATGTGTCTTCTCAAGTGTCTTTTTCTCCAAATTATTACTTCTACAACCTTCTAGTTTGTTCCGTGTGGGAATTTAAGGTAGTGGAGATATATCAGCTTTTAAGGAATCACACGTACTACAAGTATCTTTTCGTGGATAACCGAACGATATATTGAAGTTGTTTTCAAAGATTTCTCGGAAGGATTCGTAGGAAATCTTATTTTCAACTTTGCCAATTTTGTGTAATTTTGCGATATTTAGATTTTCAGGTAGGTAAACTTTTTGCGAATCTGCCAAAGAATAATGAGATTTGTGGCATTTGAGGCTCTTAATAAACTCGGTCACTTTCTGTTTTGTATTTTCTGAAAGTTTGTGAAGTCGTGTGCTGTGTTTCCACGCATGTCGATGGGCGATTTCCCAGTTGCAACTAATGAGTCTCTTATGTACCGAACTCAGACACGATAACGAAACGAAGCATTATTAAGTCTTGACTCTGCATTTTTCCTAGTTCATTAAATTCACGAAGATGTCTACAGAGTTCAGGTTCAGGAACAGTAGTAAAACAGCGAAAACGTTCACAAAAACAATCAGATCCAAGTTCGTGGGTAGTGGCGCGCAACGTTTTCATTACGTCTCTTTGTCTTCCTGTTTCCATATGGGCTGATGCCGTTTTTCCATACACCCGCAGGGACTCATGCCATTCTTCCCTACGCCCTTTTTACAATTTAAGAAGCTGATTACAAGATAGCATCAGGAAAATGCCACCAAAATAAACTGAAAGCTCAATTTAGCCAAATAATAGATTAACGCCGTTTTCCCAGGTACCCGTCGTTAACAAGTTACAACTGAAGAAAAAATGCATTTTTTGGCAAAAATGAAACATAACATTGTTTTTCAGTCATCTGTATACTCACCATGAATCAATCAGACGAAAAATATTAAGAATACTCTTCCGAACAGGCTGTTGAAAAAAGGGACATGCGACGTTAAACAACATGCGAAGTCAATTTGTTATTATATCAAGAGTCGCTACGAGAACATCTGTAATGACCAAGATCTTAGTGACACATCTCAGACACAAATGACACGTACATATATTTTACATAAATTCCAATAACATTTTACAAACTTCAAAATACTGTATCTACCAATTTGTAACATTTTTGTATGTTAGTTTGCCTCGTAAAATCCAGACAGTGATAAATATACACACCTGGTGTACAAATGCCAAATGCTCCGAAATAGCGCTAGTCTAGTAAGAAAACCTAAAAATATACAGCGCATACCGCGCAAAAATAACAGCGAGTTTCGATGGCGTTACGACGACCGCGAAAGGCAAGTAAGAAGAATGTTCACCTCACCTGGAACATCTGAAGGAAATAGACGCTGCACATTGCGAGGATGACCTTGTGCGCCCTCAGCTGATGGGCACCCACAGAGATGGTGACGTCGGTGAGGACGTCCTGGTCCAGGAAGTAGGACAAGCCGTGGAGAAGCGTCGGCTCGTGGTAGTGCCATCGTAGGACGAACTGCTGTTGGGACTGAGAGGCGGCATCCGACGGGCAGGACATGGCCAGTGCGTCTGTGATAAGGGAAAAGCCATGCCAACTCCGGCTCCGTATTATTGTCCAGCTGAGCTATTTTTAAGTTTCCTGGAGAAAGGAACAGGTGCCAGGAAATTTTCAACGGGTACGCGCTCGACAAGTGGAATGCGTTATATGATGGGAAGTACGCGAGTGTTATCTATTGTGGTTCACAGTGGTTGCGGTAATTTCTGTTACAGTCTTTGGACAAATGTAAAAATTGTGGGTAATCTTTCAAGAATTTGTGTGTTCTTTATCAGTTCGTGTTAGTTGATTTCCTATTATAACTTATGCTTATAGGGTATCATTAGGGTAAGATGAATATTTAGCTGTTGCTACATTAGTATACAAGATGCTTAAAGGTAGAAAATAGAAAAGTAACAGTGGAACTTGCTCTATATCAGCCTCAAATTATTGAAATGAACTTATTTAATTTCTTAAAATAATTTTGTGTGTAAGAATCCGCAATTTTTTGTCCCCAAATTCCAGGAAACTGACTTGGATGTTTGAGGTATACGAAATATAGGCAGTGGTAATCCTGCAAATGAGTGGAAAGAAAACTGAACTGACGACAGTCTAGCGAACCGCATTCCAGCGCCAGGTACCACCCAGACAATGTGTTGCTAGGCTTTCTGTTATAGTAGTTGTCTACTTTTAGCGAGACAATCGTCATTTTTTTAACATAAAACTCGACAGATGCAAAACTCACACAAGCGAAAATCGCCAATTAGTCTAATGATATTAGCACATTTCCCCGAAATAATTGTAAAGTCGGGTTTTATTGATGCAAGTAGTTCAAGGGGGTATTTAACACATGATCGCATTAAATGGCTACACCAATTTTTGGGGGAAAACTTTTTATTCGACAACAAAGAATGAGAAAACGTGTTTCTTGGGATTCAACTGAAAGTGTTTGCGGCAACAGAAACCTCTTCAAATAAGATTTTTAGGTATTTATGAGACCTACAAAATGAGACCACACGTAAGAAGATTCGACTAATAGTAAAAAAGTTATGGCCGAAAACCGAGATAAAATGCAGGTTTTGGCACTTGTTGCTAAGGCGACGATAATTTCACGCAGATACTTGAAATTCTTCAAATCAGGTGTCATACTTCTTAATAAGCACAACAAAATTGGAGTCGATTGGTCGAGTAGTTTTTGATAATTTCTAATTGTTTATCCCAAAACACCTATCTTCCGGCCATCACTACTATTTTACTGACCAATATACAGGGTTCGTTCAAAGGGCATTTTATAGCAAAATACACGAATTTACCTTCCCGACGTAAATCACAAACCATTCCAAAAGATAATTTTTATTTTTATGCGAAAAACGAAGGGTTACGTTTTTTTCTTGTAAACAAATTCAAACATTTCGTATATGTGAGTAACTGAACAGATTCGCTACGATATTCGAAAAACATACGTTATTATACCCATTTTAAAACAAAAGAGATGTGTCTATCACCTTTTGTTACGAAGAAAACAATTTTTTGTTCAAGATTTCTTCATACTCTTGTGTATAAATATTTAAAGCTGAAATTTTTACACCTTCACAGATGAGCCTTAAAGTTTAAAAAAGTATATTCCATATTGAAATGCACTGATTTGTTTATGAAGTTAGCACACAAACTGAAGATACAATTATATTCCAAACTGTCTTAGACTAGTTAGTATGTAGCATGTGCTAAATAGCTGCAATACTGAAGACTGCACGACTTTGTCAAATGAGCAGGTCAGGTAATCCAGTCTTTTCTAGACTTTTTTCTAAAAGTATCAATATAGTATACGTCTGTTTTCGAAATCTCGTTCGATTAATACGACTGCGAGTTCAGAATGTTTGAAAATAAACTCGAGAAAATGAAAAAACAGTAGACAAATATCAACCAATTGTAGCAAATCGACCGTCTTACAAATTGAGCAAAATGCTCGTTATTAATCCCCAATACAACTTTTAAAGATTCAGCACTGTATCTTGTATGGTTTTCAAGAGTACTGTAATTGTTTATAACAGATTTGATATGAAATTCTCAAAAACAACTTGACAAATCGACTCCAATTTTGTTGTGGTATTAGTTGTATGAAGCCTAAGAATTTCAAGTAGCTGTGTGAAATTGTCGTCGCGCTAGCAACAAGTGCCAAAACTTTTGCCTCGGTTTTCGGCTATAACTTTTTTACTATTAGTGGTATATTTTTACGTGTGCTAAGAACCTTATTTGAAAAGTTTTTTTGCTCCTTCCAACACTTTAGATTGAATCCCAAAAAACAGGTTTTCTCATTGTTTGTTGTCGAATAAAAAGTTTTCCGACAAAAATTGGTGTACCCATTTTATGCGTTCATGTTTTAAATGCACAACCTGCATCAATAAAACCAGACTTTACAATAAATTAATTCGTAAACCAGGGGTATTTTCGTCTAATATGATAAGACTAAATTCACAGAATTATAACAAGGAGAACCGAAAACCAAAACTCGAATTCTTTTTTGATAGAGATTTTGACGCGTCCAACGAGATGACAGTGTATACTGGATGATTCACAAGTCGTGACAAAAAATGAAACATCATACACAGGGCAGCATTTTAAGGGGGGTCTTCTATGTCACATTTTTTCCTCGAGGGCTTCATTAAAAACATACAGTGTGTTGAAGTTTAAAAATAAAAATACTAAATAATTACTCTTGTGTTTTTTCCTAGAGTGCAATGTTTTCGTAAAAATAAAAATAAAACAAAGTAGAGCATTCATGAAGAGCCGAAATACAATTAGTTTCAAAATAAAATAGGAGGCCTTGATACCAACTTGATGTTTCTTGGGAGATAGTTTGTCAAAGTTATGTGCCATACGGTTGTTATCATTACTACTATAATTTTTTTTGGTAAAAGTCAAGTCAAAAGTTTCTTTTTTTTAATTGTTGAGTGTTGTGAAATGGAATTTAGCAATGCCAATATTATTTTTGTGTACAGATTCTGTAATGGAAATGCTTTAGCGGCTTCTCGGGAGTATCAGCGTAGTGTTCCTAACAGACGCCAACCTACCCCAAAGGTTCTTACGCGTTCATTTCTAAGACTTCGGCAATATGGAATTGCCAGACTTCCCGGAGTTAGAGGCCATGGTGTCCGGCATACTGTTCAAGAGGAACTGGAAGTGATTAATTTGGTGTTGGATGATCCTAGTACAAGTACTAGGCGGATTGCGGCCTAGTACTTGTTCCCAAAGTCTTGCGTGGAGAATTTTAAATGGTGAAGTTTTAAATCCTTACCATCGGCAAAATGTGCAATGTCTGCAACCCGGCGACGAAGTGCAACGGCGAAATTTTTGTTAGTGGTTAGGTCCAAATGCATAATCAGAATGCAGATTTTATTGATTTGGTTTTCTGGTCAGATGAATCGCTTTTTACGAGGAGTGGAACCTTTAATTCTCATAACGAACATATTCGGTCGTTAGAAAATCCCCGTTCTGTAAGAATCCACTCGTTTCAACACAGATTTTCTAGAAATGTGTGGTGCGGCATTTCCAATGGTCAACTGTTTATGCACGTATTGCCACAACGTATAAATGCAAACTCATACTTGTTAGATGATGTTCCGTTAGCAACGATAGTACGAATGTGGTATCAGCACGACGCGACGGTGGCCCACCGCATGTTCTTCGTGACATAACCGCATGGTTAAATAATCATTTTAGACATCGATGGATTGGCAGAAACGGGCCCGTACATAGGCCTGCGAGGTCTCCTGATTTAAACCCCCTGGATTTCTTTTTGTGGGGCGCTTTTAAACAACTAGTGTATGCTGACCAAATCAATACTGTTGATCAGTTACAAGAAAGAATAGATAATGCGTTTCATCAAACTCAAGCGACAACAAATTTTGCGGAAATACGTTTTTCTTTATTAAAAGGATGCCGCACTTGTATCCGTCAGAATGGTGGTCTTTTTGAACATTTATTGAAATAAAGCTTTGATTATCTAAATTGTTTTTTTTTCTTTTTACTTCGTTGCACGTTATATATGATAGTGTAATAAAAAAATCACTACTTATTTTAACAGTTTTTATTATTATTATTATTAAATTCATCAAATAAACTAGCAATACAGTGAACCCGAAAAAATATAACAACTAAACACAAACTTTTAAATATACCCTGATTTGAATGTTTCTATTAGCACAACTATGAAATTTTCGAAGAAACAAATCTAGTACAGCGGCTCTTCTTCGTTCAAATGCTAAATAGGAAAGGTCAGCCATTCGTTGATGCTGCATTGAATGCCTTTGAGGTCGATTGATTGCTGTCAACGAAGAAAAAGAAGATTCACAAAGTGCCGTGCTTCAACCGAAAGTAGCAATTGTTGCAAAGAGCTGATACGTTGCCCTAAAAGCTCTCCTATGTTTGTAAAGTTTAGAGAATATACTTTCTTTTTGCTCCATGGTGACGAAATCTTTAACAACCGAAAACTCTTCAATAGATGGTAGCTCGATACCTATAACAATAATAATAGTTATATACTAAGTGACATATAAATCCGAACACCCAGTTTAAATGGTTTTATTTTAATAAAATTTTGTATAAGTACTTAATGAAGCATAATAAGTAAATGATAGAAATTTCAAAATGATTGCACTGCTTTAAAGCCCTTTGACCTTTAATAATGTGTGGATGCACCCTGATGTGCTACGCATTCTCCAACGCGCCTAGGCATGCTTCTGATCAGGTGGTTAATGTCCTCCTGTGGTATCTCATTCCAGGCAACCACCAACTCCTCTCGAAGTGCTTCTAGAGTCTGGGGCGGACGTTGCAAATTGAGCAATCCCCTACCCATCATATCCCACACGTGCTCAATTGGGGATAAGTCGGGAGATCTTGGTGGCCATGGTAACAATGTGACATCATTATGTTGAAAGAAGTCTATTGTGACTCTTGCAACATGTGGTCGGGCATTATCTTGTTGCGAAGTTGGATCTGCCAGGGTGTCAAGATAGGGTAAAAGATGGGGTTCTAGAACTTCGTGGATATAACGCTGCGCGTTCATGTTACCTCTGATGAAGATTAAAGGTGACCTGGAACCATAAGCTATAGCACCCCAAACCATAACTCCAACAGTGTGATGAACATGTCTTTCAACAAAAAACTGTGGATTCCTCCTTTCACCACGTCGCCTTCTAACCCTGGCACGACCATCGTGCATGCCTAAACAAAATCGAGACTCGTCACTAAAGACAATACTGTTCCATTCCTGATCCCAGAGTGACCGTTGTCTGCACCACTCAAGGCGATTACGTCGGTGTTCTCGAGTTAAAGGGAGGACCCAGTGTGGCCGGTATGAAAACAAGCCAAAACTTCTCATTCGTCGGTAAACACTTCGCATGCCAATAGGTCTTCCGTGTTCTGCAAACCATTCATTTGCAATGGACCTGGTAGTGGAGAAACGGTCCCTTAAGGCCAATAATCTTAGGCGGCGATCTTCACGGTCTGTTGTTCTACGGCGGCGTCCGGTGCCCCTTGCTCTTTGCGTACGGCCTTCTCGAAGCCATGCCTGACAACACCTAACCACAGTGTCTACACTTCTTTGCACTCTAACTGCAATTGCCCGAAAAGAAAGTCCAGCTTCCCGAAGTCCCACTATACGGCCCCTATCAAACTCACTGTTGACGAAATCGTACAGGTCTACGTACTCTAGGCATGGTAACCGATCGTAAAGGATATCAAGAACCAAAATCCGCCAACGTTGATTCTTTACTGCGGCTGAAATATTCATTTTTAGAGCGTTAGTGAATTAAAAAAGAGCAGTATAAAAACCGGAATGTCCAACTGATAAGGCTGAAAATTTTTTCACTTGTTATTTACAGTAAGATAAATACATTCACCAACTTTTATTAAAATAAAACCATTTAAACTGGGTGTTCGGATTTATATGTCACTTAGTATAGTTATATAATTTTGGGTGATTTAAAATGATCTCTTACCAAGTTCTTTTAGAGGTTGAAGTTTTATCAAATCAAATTCTTCAATGCTACTAATGGCCATCAATAGGTCGTCATTGTCCGAAAACATTTCTTCCAACTGAAGAAGCGTTAGATCTATGGCCTCAAAATATAAACTTTTATATTGCAAACTACAGTCTTCGGTCTCTTCCTGGGTATTAGGTAGGGTTTCCATCACAAAAAAAGCATTTAGGCTATGAGTACTCTGCCTTTTTCGTTTCTCAGCGTTACTTTTTACGTCAGCATAAGGTACCAGATTTTGTGATTCATTTAAAATGTTTAAACATTTTTCCGATGATCGCAGCAATTGAATTTTATTTTTGACACAAGTTATTATTTCGAAAGCATCTTTGAGACTTGTCGATCGTCCTTGCAATGCGGCATCTGCCGGTTCTAATAATCCCAGAATTTCTTTCATTAATATTAAAGTGAATCTGAAATCTATCTTTAACATGACCGACTTTATTCCAATACCCTTGGCAATGTCTTGTCCAGCGAACAATTTGCTTTGGATTATTTCGTCTAATGTTCTAATAATTTCTGCATAGTTAGCTAATATTACATTAATAATGGCCAAATGACCGGACCATCTTTGTTCGAGAAGGCGAACAATAGTCTTTCCTTTACAAATAGCTGAAACTTGGCCATGCTGGAAAAATTCGTGTAACATTATACACAGATCAAAAAAACATTTATCATGTTAGTTTCAGAAACAATTTTGACTACAACTAAATGGAGCCTGTGGTTATAGCAATGAATGTCAGGGATACTCCTTTGAATCTCTTTTTGCATGAGGGCAGAAACTCCACCTTTTTTACCACTCATGACGCTTGCTCCGTCATAGGACTGACCACATAACCACTGACTTAATAAACGTGAACAATCAATTTCATATTTGTCCAAAATTTGAATTTGAAGTGTCATATCTGTAAACGTCTTGGCATCCATTTTGGTCACTCACGTAAATACCTAGTAAGGATTCATGAACGATCCCATCTTTTACGTAACGAATACCTATGGACAAATTCTCCCTGTTATTTTTATCTCTGGTTGCATCTTCTAACAATGTGAACCATGGAACATCAGATTTTTTAATATCGTCCACTACGCTTTGACGTACTAATTCTCCTAATATGACAATAATTTCATTTTGTATCTCAGGAGAAGTATACTTGACATTTTTAGGAATATGTTTTATAGCCTTTTCAAGAACTTTGTCCTTTTTAAGGGTATAATTAAAAAGACTTATGAATAAACCTCCTTCTTGATTGATTTTACATAGTATACTTTATCTGAAGTCACTTGAAACACTGTGAAATACCGGGTGCGTTTTATATATCTATATTTAACACTCTCTGTTGCTGCAAAAATCACCAAATTTCGCAGCAAATATCCCCCGTATAAGAGATCAAAGGCAGTTTCACCGGTCCACGTGGAGTAAAGCACGCCTATGCGTGGACATAGCCAATGAGAAAGCGTGTATTTCAGAGCTCGGAACAAGTGCAGGTGGCTACTGAAAATTGAAACAGTTTAGCCAGTGCCGTGTAGCGGTGAATAAACGTGTTTTCTTTAGTCTGTCCGTGTTTTTTCATAGATTTTATTAGTTTGTGTGTTTTTGACTTTTGAATACTCAGTTTACTTGTTGATTTAATTGTTGTGTTGATTGTTCTTGTGTGTCCTAAATATGGCTCTTTGGAGACCTTGGGAAAATACTCCAAGCCACGAGGAGATGGTTGATGAACCTGTGCAGGCAGAATTCTTTCATAAAGATTTAGAGGAACAGACCCAAAGAGTAATCCTAAATATGTATGATTGTCTGAAAAACGTAAATCCAGATTTCTCGCAAAATCAAATTTTAAACAGAATTTGTATCCTGACAAAAATCAGTCGGTCTACCATTTATCGGGTTATAAAAAGGGGAGATGTAGTCAGGGGCGTAGCTACCGCCGTATCTGCCGTATCAATTATACGGGGCCCCCGGGCCACGGGGGCCCCCAAAGTGTGTAAGGAAAAAGAAATAAAAACTTCCTAATTTATTTTATTTTACAAATGACAAAATTCTATAAAGCAATTACTTTTTATACCGCCTTAAGCGTGCGTTCAAAAGTTGGCAACACTGTACATCGTTATGGCGGGCTGTGGGACTTCCCCGTTTTACTTACTTCATCTGCAACTCAGCGGGGAATCCCTCAATAATAAAATCGATATCGCGAACGTGTACGTACATACTCTATATTGGATGTTAAACCACGGAGTGCAGTGCAGTGTTTATTTACGCGTTTTATGTAATTGTGCATTACATTGTAATTCAGTACAAACAATATTGTTCTGGTGGTTTAACAATATTAGTAGCGATTTGTAAAACAAATGAGTGAAAGGAAAAGAGATTATCCCAGCGGTGCTGAGAAAAGAAAAAGTAAACGGAAAAGGGAAGAGGTTATAAAAAAAGTGCCCAAAATTTCTTCATTTTTTCATAGACAAGATACTGTGAGTGATTTAGATTGGAAAGGTAAGTACTACCCAACCCATTTATTCGGGGTCCGTAGTGATAAACAAGGAAATCTTTTAATTTCGGCCTGTCAATCTGTCCGTCACAAAAAGTGGTCTCCCCCCCTTCGATTTTCACAACTACTGGTCCAAAAATCTAAAAAAGATATTGGAGACTCCTTACTAATTAAACTTTTACATGAAATTGGTTTGGCAAAAATCTTAAAACGGATAAGGTTTAAAAATAAATGACAATTTGTAAAATTACTTCTTCGAAAAACCGAAGTACTTACTAATTTACACAAGTACTATTTTACACGACGCTAATGTGGATCTGCGTGGTTAGATACGCGTGGTTGGTTTATTATTTACCTGTAGCGAACGGTGAATTTTGTTTTTAGGGTTCCGTGCCTCGAAACAAAAAAAAACCAAAACTCTAACTTATCTATAAGATCAATTTGTTTTGTTGTTTGTCTATCAGTCTGTATCGTATCGTAAATTGCGTGTTGAGAACTTCAGATGTGCAGACTCGCTTTCGGGTTGTTCTCGTTTTGTATGGCCACTACACTACGCGCTGCGTTCAAATAGCACGCAGGTGTAATGTAACGCACGGACGGGCTGCAGGTGATTTTGTATCTACTAATACGAGCACAATCCGCGTAGAGTCTGTGTGCGTCTGAACTGAACACTCTCTAACTGTGACCCTTAGTAAAGTTATTTATTTATATATAACTCTTTTTAGTTTAGTATCAAAGCATTCGTATTTTTTTTTAACAAATACTCGTTTATTTTTAGATTCTTCTGAAGCACGTTCTTCGTCAAATATCCATTCGGAAATAGAAGAAAGCCAAGCACATACTTCATCGGATGTCCATCCAGAAATTGAAGAACACCAAGTCAACGATTCTGATATATTTGAAGATTGTAATATAATTTCATCAGATAGAGGAAATTTTGGTGACAATTTATCTGAATGCGAACGAAAAATAATTTTTAAATTGGGTCCATTTAAACCACAAGGACCATTTCCAAAAGATTCAGAAAGTAACCGACCTTTTTCGGCCTATTATTATTCATATTTCAATCAGGCAGGCATAAAACTTGTAAGACCATGGTTATGTTATTCTAACGTTTTAAACAAACCGTACTGTCACTTCTGTTGGTTATTAGCAGATCGTCAAAACAAATCGTACTCCTCTGCTTGGGTTAACGGTGTTTCGGTTAGAAGCAATTTTACGCAAACTATACTTGACCATGAAAAGTCACAGCAGCATATGAATGCCTCACTCTCTTATAATAATTGGTTGCAAGGAAATACCATCGATACTCTATTGCAAAGTGAAATCAATAGTAAAATTACATTCTGGAGAGATGTACTGCATCGTATAATTAATGTTATAATTACTTTAGCATCTTGTAATCTATCTTTGAGAGGGCATGATTCTGATTCTGGAAATTTTATGGCAATTTTACGTTTGCTATCTAACTATGATGCAACTTTAAAAGAACTTCTTCTAAAACCGAAAGGCGAAATAAATTATTTAAGCCCTACGATTCAAAACGAAATTATTAGTTTGCTTGGTACCACCGTTAGGAACAATATTATCTCAGAAATTAAAAAAGCTCCATTTCTGACAATAATTCTGGATACAACACAAGACTTGTCAAAAATTGACCAACTTTCTGTAGTTTTTCGATATATCTCGGTTACAGAAAATGATGATAATGTGCCTAAAGAAATAAAAATCTGTGAGTCCTTTTTAGGATTTATAGCAGTAACCGATTGCAGTGCTGCAGGTCTGAAAACTGCCTTTTTAAATTTGACTAAAGAATATGGAATTGATTTGACTAAATGTAGAGGACAGGGTTACGATGGAGCAAATGTTATGTCGGGTATTTATGGAGGATTACAAACCCTAATAAAAGAGCATGCTCCAAATGCCGATTATGTTCATTGTGCTGCGCACGCTTTAAACTTAGTTTTAAACGATGCTGCGAGACACGTTCGTGAAATATCGACTTTTTTCGATAATTTAGAAAAAGTATATACTTTTTTTGGCAATAGTATAAAACGCTGGGCTATGCTAAGTGACGATCCGTCTGAAAAATATTTGATTACCCTTAAAAAGGTATGTCCAACCAGATGGTCTTCTAGGAACGACGCTTTATTAGCGGTAAAGAAAAATTTTTTACTAATCATGAAAACTTTGTACCAACTAAATTTAATTTCAAATAAAAAAGATGAACGTGAAGAATGTAAAAATATAATTAATATTTTAGAGAGTTATGATTTCTTAGTGCTCGTTACATTTTTTTCTTCACTATTTGAAATTATTAATCCTATTTCTAAAGCTCTACAGCATGAAAATAATGACTTACAGAAATCTAGTATTTTATTAAGTAATCTTTTAAATAGACTGTGCCAATTAAGAAATCAGATTTCATTTAATAGTTTGCTAAATGAGTCCAAAGATTTAGCAAAAGAGTGGGGGGTAACAACTGTTTTTAAAAACAGTAGGCGAAAGATAACGAAGCGTTTTTTTGATGAGTTATCACAAGATGAGAGAATTTCCGACCCGGAATCCTATTTCAAAGTCAATGTATACTATTGCTGTTTAGATATATTAATTTCTCAAACTAAAGAAAGATTTCAGAGCCTTTGCGATCTGAGTAGTATGTTCGAAATATTACAACCGGAGAAACTCCTATCTTCTTCAAACGAAGAGATATTAATCGCTTCCGGAAAACTGTCCGTTAAATACAGTAAAGACATCTCAGTTAATCTTTGTGACCAATTAAAGGCTCTAAAAACATGTTTAAAATCTGAAATTCAAAAAATTTATTCCATTAAAGAACTCATTGAATTATTGCTAGTAAAATTCAATAGTCTTGCATCTAGTTTTCCCGAGGTAATCACAGCATGCTTTTTATTCTTGACCCTTCCAGTTACAACCGCAACTGCTGAAAGAAGTTTTTCAAAATTAAAACTGATAAAAAATTACTTAAGAACTTCGATGGGACAAGAACGGCTGTCAGACCTCTCACTATTGTCCATAGAGGTAGAAACTTTAGAAAAACTAAAATCATCATCAGCCATAAATGATTTAATAAATCAGTTTGCCGAAAAAAAGGCAAGGAGAATGAATGTTTAAAATTTGATTTTTATTTGTAAAATGGTTAAATTATGTTATGATAAATAAATATTTCTTTTCACAATATTTTTTTTCTTTTGTGAAAAATCTTTACCCCCAAAGAATATAAGGGCCCCCAAACAATTTTTTATACGGGGCCCCGCCAATGCACGCTACGCCACTGGATGTAGTCAACCATTCCTTCCACAGAAAGCGCATAGGGCTGAAGATCTGAAGATTTTTATAATTACAAATGCTTAGACTCACTGCACTGTATTGTAAAACTGTGTGGTTTTCAATACAAAAAATTAGATAAAAGAATGGTGATTATGGAGTCGTCTCGAATCGTTGAATTGCGCCAAGAATTTTTGCACAAATTTAAAATCTATAGAGAGCAGAAAAGAAATCTGATTTACCTGGATGAAACGTGGTATGATACCCATGATGTTGTGCAGTACGGCTGGGTTGACGACAGCAACAAGTGCATTTTAAATGCACCATGCAACCGTGGTAAACGAATCATTATTCTCCATGCTGGCAGTGAAAATGGATTTATACCTAATGCCTTGCTGTTATCTGCCAAAAATATCAAAGAATCATGTGCCGACTATTATGAGGACATGACCTCCGACTTATTTGAAAAGTGGATAGAGCAGCAGTTAATACCAAACATTTCCCCAAATTCAATGATTATTATGGACAATGCGCCATACCATTCCCGACAGAAAAACAAAATTCCGAATACAGGCACAAAAAAACAAGACATTATTGATTTTATGAAGGATAAGGGAATGGAAATACCACAAAAATCAACCAAAGCCATATTATTGGATCTTATTAAAAGACAAAAATTTGAAAAAGAGTATGTTGTTGACAATCTGCTTCAGCAAAATGGCCATGAAGTATTACGTCTACCTCCCTATTACTGCATTTTTAACCCGATTGAGTTGGTCTGGGCTGCTTTAAAAAAAAAAGTAAGAAAACATAATCAGACCCCTCAATTAAGTGAATCGCTATTGGCCACAATAAGAGATGCAGTATCTCATATTGCTGCCACAGACCTATGGAAGCAGTGTTCTAGGCATATTATTGAAAAAGAAAATGAATATTGTGTTTTGCCTCCTGTAAATCCCGTTGTAATTCCTCTACAAGATGACTCTAGCAACAGCTCCGAAGGCGAGGATGATATATAAATACCTATAATGTAAGTCTTTATATACCTTTTTATATACCTACCTGCTATGTAAATATTTGCCTATGTCAAACGTTGGAATTCTGTCATTTTTCCATTTCTTAACTTTCAGCCAACATAAATTAAACTCCCAATATAAGTATTTTTTATCCCAAATCAAAAAAATAAGAAGCTAGTAAAATCCATTTATTGTGATATAAAAACATTATTATTATCGTTCTAAATAAATGCCGCACGCCTATGATACGTCATGAAATTACAAAGGACGCGCCGACCAAAGGTTTTTATGCTATTTCAAGTGACTTCAGATACACCATACCTATATTTTTCAAGCAACTCGCTATTGATAAGTGTTGATACTGCGGTGCCACTGGAGTCCCGAGAGGATCGTTCCTTCCACATAACTATTGCTTTCAAATGAATTTCCGTTTTTTCATGTCGCGGGAATCCATTTTTAGAATCCATTGCGTTTTTCCAATTTGTGAATCCCACATGAGTATATATATATATATATATACGTAATATCTTTATTACTAAACGGCTGAAATTGCCGACAAGCATAACAAAAAGCTGCATCCTTTTGTACAGAATACTCAAGCCATTTAAATAATTTAAACCAACATGCTCGAAACACACGCCCGTTATTTTGTTTTGGATATTCTCTTAAAATAATTTGCTTTCTGGGCTCACCTATTTTCGGTAGATCAAGATCAGTTACTTGGATATTCACGTCCTGTGCCTTTGAAAGGGTTGGCAAACTTTTTACCTCGGCAAGGCAGCTAGGATTGTTACCAGTAGGGTAGTCTTCATCGTCTAATGGCCGTCTTTAGTAAAAAAAATTCTTATATCCATTGCAAGAAGATTACCGCCATTAAAAACGCCTGATCTACATGCAATCAGACGATACACAATGCAATAAATCAGTACGCTAGTTATTCTTACAGTTTGGGTTTCGGGGAATCACCGGAACCGGCTTATTCTCGATTCGCGTCGCTCAATTGAGGCTTGAGACGCCGTCGTCGGCCTCGTTGCAATGTTGCCGACTTGTAGGATCATTCCCTAAATTAAAATATTCATTGCATAACTGCATTCTCGCCAGTCTCAAAAAAACAAAAACATATAAACTATGAAACTACATCAGTTCACAGTCTCAAAATAAAACAATAATTACATTAACTTAGAAAGTGATTTGAACAGAATTTGAACAGACTTTTATATCAATCTGCTGGCCAATAAGTAAAACCGCATATCTTGATTGTATACTTTGGAAAAGATCACCGTGGTGGTTTAAACGTAAGTAAACCCTTAACTACATCTGCTTTTTTATTTATTGGCCAACAGAAGGGAGATGGATTTGAGAGACAACCTTAGGCAAAGTTCAGGTGTTATCATATTACAAAATCAAGGCGCCTATTCTTTTTGCTGGCTTACCGATCTATCATTGTATTCACGTCTATTTTAATATCCCTATGCATATACAAAAGAGCTAAACCCACTAATCGCTCTTGTAGAATAGTGGAGCGCAGCCAAGTTTTTATCCTCTTTAGATGGGAGAGACTTCGTTCAGATGTCGCAACAATTACCGGCAATGAAATCAATAATTGTAGGCATCTATTAATTGAAGGAAAAATGTTTTCATCACATGATAAATACAGTGACATTCCACTGTCTATAATATCTTGTGCACGTGACTTCCAAAGGTCAAATTCTGCTTTTAATCTGGTACTTATTAAATTTTTGTTTTCGTTACTATTTAGTCCACGCAAATATTTAGAGATTGTTTCTAATATGTCCATTACTTCGGCTTCAGTTTTTGAATTAAATGCTGACGCAAAGAAAATAATTAAAATTGTATGTATTCAAAGATTCTTCATTGAACCGGTATACCAAATCCTGTAATATATTATCTAGCAAAGGGACATATAGGTTCTGTCTGTAACGATTTGCCTTGTCAGACGCTATGCTCGGTCTGTTCATTTACCTGCTTGTTATTCTTGGTACAGCCAGTTCAATACCCAGGGTTTCATGTGATTGCATTATGGATGCGAATAGTATTCTAAAGCGTTTTTCGGAATTTGAGCGTCTTTCTTGTACATGAAATAATATTTCCTATGAGTTTGACAGCGTATTGTTTGTCAATTCTTTTTGATTGCAAAATCTTACTCAGGTTTGTGTGGAAGTAATGGCAGTCTTCAAAGACTCCGCTTTTGAAGAAGCTTCGCGGTCTTTCCAATTTGATATAATATTTAGTACCTCAACAATTTTCTCGAATTTGCTTTCAAATTGGAGCACAGAAACATGTCTCTCGGTCCATCGTGTTTCGCACATGTTATAAATTTGATATCCGTCTAGTTTTCTTTTTAATACTGTATTTCTTTTAGCGGATGCTTTGAAGAACGCAATTACTTCCTTCATTATACCTACAGTATTTCTTACTGCTTGGACACTGCTGCTTTTTGAAATCGATAAGATTCAAGGCATGATTCACCTAACATTAGGTTACACGTATCAGTACCAATGCCCACACATAGTTTTGAGTCTAAGTTATTGGTTTTAATGAAATGCTTGACTGTTTGAGCAAGAATTTGACCTGTGAATTTGAGCTCCATTGTATCTTCATCAAAATTTTAATAGCAATCCACAAATCCCATGAAGTCCTCGTAAATATGTTTTTGATAACAATACCTCAATACGATTGACATTTGTGATTTATGGCTAATGTCTGTAGTTTCGTCAAATATAATACTGTAATACTGACTTTGCCTGATGCTACTTAAAACTATATCCAAGATTTCTTCGCCACAACATTCTATAATTCCATTTTGGATGCGGCTGCTTATGTACGTAGCATGCGCTTTTGAGTTCTCTATGTTTTTCTTTTTAAATAAATTATCGCCGCTCTCGACTCTAAACCCTATTGGTTCTCTAAAATTTCCTTCATTATTAAGGACATCCTCGTCATTCGTGCTGTCATTAGAAAAAAGTCGTCCCCTATCTCTATACCCTCTAAGTGGTATATTTTGGCGTCCTAAAAAAATTATAGATTCTATTATAGGAGTCAATCTTTGCTGATTTTCTGATACTTGCTTAATTCGCTCTGAACCTATTATATTTCTTATACCATTCTCTGGATTTTCGTAAATCTTTAAAAAGTTTGTAGCATCTGAAACTGCTTCTGTATGATATATTGAGTTCTCATGTGTCTCACAATCACCGGTTTTGCCATACAATTTCGAAAATTTCTTTAGTGGTACGGTAACAAGTTTTCCCAATTTAGTTGATTTATGTACTCCTCCTAATTTTGCAAAAACCACGCAATATTTACAGAAAAACCCTTGTAGTTCCTCTGAATATGACAGCCAAGGAAATTTCTCAAAGTGTTTTTTTGATAATTAACATTTCACTTCTTTATCATTTCGTGTGTGGATGTGGAATAGGGATATTTGAAAGAGTCATTAGGGATCATTGCACACCTCAATAAGGTATATTTTTCATGGGAAAACAAGTTGCCGCTGAAATTTACATATGGCGCAATATCAACAAAATTTGATCCTTTAGGTTTCGCACCCGATTGTTCAACACTTGGTTCGGCATACGAGTACGGTGCAACATCAAGAAATTTTGAAGTGGGAGGCTCAGGTTGAATTGTAGTCAGTTGAATTTCTGTTTGGAAAACAAGATTTCTTAAGTATAGAAATTAAAACAAAAACTAATTTTCTGGCTTATGCGTGGAAAATAAAAAATCAATAGAACATAGAAAATAGCGTAAATACCAACCAGATCAACAAAACTCCGCTTGTTCACTTCTCAGCTAAATTTTGTTGCGGACTCCGGACTGGTATAGAATTTAGACACTAGACTAGACCATAAAAGACTAGACGATACCTGTTTCCTGTTCCAACAGGAAGAAGCACACATCGTTGCTGTTGGTGGGAGAGTAGTCGCTAGTCGCATGCGCACTGAGCGGGTTGGCAGTGTTGCCGCTATCCTTTCTTAAAGTTACAGATTTTTTTACAAGATGTTTTCTTTATACCACCTTTTTAAAGACTGCTCGAATCGTCGGGGGGGGGGGTAATTACCCCCTTTGCCTCCCCCCGTGAGAGCGCCAGTGGGTTAAACTCTTAGAATCGGGGTGACGTCAAATTGTAAGTACACTGAGTACACTGCACAGGAAATGAGTTTCAAGTTCTTCGCCTGTGCTATTTATTTCTCTTATATCTAAATCTATCTGTTACTGTCAGCATGAACGTAAACTAGTATTTTGGTAGTTCAGACGAGATGCAAGCAGACAAATTTGGTAATATTAATAAACCAACAAAGCACGGCAAAACATGAGTGGAATCAAAAACCTTGGAAATCAGGATTTTGCGATGTAGTTGATGTCATTTGTTTGCCGTAGTGAATAGGAGTAGATCAAAATCTTGATCAACATAAAGATGACAGCGGGTTATGTTGATATTTTTCACGTGCATCTGTATAAACGTTGAAAGCTTGAATATGCATCGTTTGGTAGCCTTTCTATAACTTTTGGATAGATAAACTTGAAAATACCCAGCGACGATTAATAAAGTACCTCCATTTCAAGAAAAAATGGTAGTTACCCGCCAATTGCCTACCCTCAAGAAATTTTAGAAGCATTTGTTTAGAAAGTCTCAAGGAAAGGCGTGATAAGTGCTACGTTAATTTCGTTGATAAATTGCACAATCGTACAGATTGTTTCAATATATTGCATTAATTTAATGTTGTTCCCTCACGTTTAAGATCTAGGCAATTTGATGCTTTTTATTTGCCTATCCCTAGAACAAAGATCGTAAAGTTTTCTCTCTTTAAATGGGGAACGTTTTAGAGGATACTTACTGCTTTCGATAGCCGCGGCTTCAGATTTAAGATCGGCCAATTGGTTTTGAATATATCAGCGAAAAACCGAAAATGGCGTAATTTGTTTTTTGCCAGTAAATCCAAAACGGTCAATTTGACAGTTGACAAAATGTGACTTTATTCGGACATTTTTTTAAGAAAAATAACTTTCATTTTTCTTATGGCCCCCATATTGGATTTTTTGATTTTTGAAAAGAGTGTAATGGAGGCCATGATTTATTTATCAGAAAATAACATTAATTAGTAAGGAATAAAAAAACATATACGCTATGGATTTTCAATAGAATATGAACGTTAATATCGACTTCTCAACAATTCAAATGTTTTGGGACAGATTCCCAACTATGAGTATGTTAAAAAGACAAGTCGGAAAAATCGTCGTAAATTTATTTTACACTTAAACAAACAAACATTTTACAAAATTGTAATGGAATGTAAAATCTAATTATGCAAATGGGTATTAATTTACAGATTTACAAAAAACATCCATTTGCATCCAGACATTTTTGACAATTGGTAACTGTTTTTCGTACAACCATAGCTAGTGTATCACTGTTAATGTTTCTAACTGCGCACAAGGGTGAAAGGTCAGGAGGTCTAGGAGACCAAGATATTGAACCATTTAAAGAATTATTCTTTCATCAAACTGCTCTCTTAATAAGTTCCTGACTTTAATGGTGTTGTGAGCCGGACATCTATCCTGTTGAAACCAGGTTCTTCTAAACTCATCTTCGGTTAGACTAGCTCGTAAAGCCGACACAACCTGGTTTCGCAAAAGCTCTAGATACCTAACATTTTGGTTGTGGTCAAACAAAAAACGTCCTTATGTCGATTTCCTGAAATGATTAATACCTAATTTCAAATAGGTGCCCAATTAAAAAAGGGAAGTTAGATTAAATTACCAATGACCACACAACAAACGCTAGTTCCAAATCTGGTCTGTAGACGTCTCTCTGCCACTTCGTGGGGGTTTTCCACGGCCCAATGTTGAGTGTTGTGCTTACTAAAAACTCCACAATTCGTAAACCTACTCTCATCGGACCATAAGACATGATTTACAAAATCGGGATTTTCATTGGACTTCCTAGTATACACACTCAGCCCTTGAACTATTGTAGGTTTGTATGGATGATATTTCTTGTTATTTAACTCTCTGTACTGTTGATTTTCACACTCCAATTTCTCGTTCTATAGTTCTTACTGATGCACTAGGGATTTCGTTGACAGCTTGTAAAATTTTTCTGTCGCGATTTTCATTTTCAATATTGTATCCGCTTCTAGGTTGTTCGAAGGCCCAATGGTTTATTAAATTAACTCCTATTTTTCTAAATTTCGTTTTATTAGGCTGCAGTCGTTCGGGGTACATCTCCAATTAACTTGCTGACGTAATGTCGGCGTTTCTGTGTGACTACAAGTACAGCGCTAACATGTCAACATTTTCTACATATGAGTAGGGAATACTGGCCATTGTCAACAGGTTTTGACAATGTTTAGCCTCCTTAGATGAAAAAAATACTTTACTTATTAATTTTATTTTCTGACAAATAAATCATGGCCTCCTTAGAAAAAAATTAATACATAACATTACGTGTGATGATATCTTATGCACTTGTGAGACATCACTAGGCTGGAAATTTTACGCTCTTTTCAAAAATCGAAAAATCCAATATGGCAGCCATAAAAGAAATGAAAGTTGAGGCAGGTTGCGGGAAAACAAAAGACGATTGAGACATGTCATATAATACACGCTATCTTATTTGCCTTAAAAAAATGTCCGAATAATGTCACATTTTGACAGCTGTCAAATTAACCGGTTCGGATTTACTGGCAAAATACAAAATTCGACGGTTTTTCGCCGATGTTTCCAAAACCAATTGACCGATCGTAAATCTTGAAGCTGGTTCTTGAATGCACTAACTTTTCTTTAAAACTGTCCGCATTCAACCTTTGCTGTAGGTATAACCGCTGCCGAGATCCCTGTATAGAGAAGCGAATCTAGAACGCACTGTATTTCTCTTTTTTTTCTTTCTTATCTGCACTATGATATTCGTAAATAGGTTCTGAGTGTCTGAACTACCTACTCATGCTTGCATTATGAAATAAACGAGTATTTTTTAAATCCTGTGTCCTGCTCTGTAAATAGTTGTTGCTGTTAAGTAATGTATAAATAAATAAACGTACAGACGCTCTACGCGCACTAGATTTCCGGGAGCCGCGCTCTTCTTAGTGAGAGTATTGGCTTCATAGGAATACGTGACTTTTCTTGGGTAGTTTAGCCACCTATCTCTAGTTTTTGTCATCAAAAGTGTTAAACCTTGTAATAAAAAAACTGGATTGGAATACTTGAATAGGGCAACAAAGCAATAAAACTGCTGTAATATAGAAACAATTTGTATTAATTATAATTGTATTAAAATTATTTGCAATAATTTAACTGTGGAATAAAAAAGTTGAGCTTTATAAAAAAATCAACTATACATTACGAAAGTAATTTAAAAATTTATTTTATATAAATAAAATAATAGAAGAATTGTATAATGATTTGATGATGTTTAATGAACTCATATCCAGACATATAATATAATGTTCATATCTTATCAACTCCATCTTTTGGCCTTATCTTAAAAATTCTTAAATAAAAAAACGCCCAACTATCAGATATAAAAATTCTAGCTTCTTGTCGCGTTTTTAAGTCTTTGACAGCTGGATACTTATTTAGCATTCATAATACTTTTATTCGTTCATGCAATCCTATGATTATGATGAGTCGTGTGTGACAGCCACCGATAGCATTAACCTCTCAGACAATAATGGATCCGACGAGATTAAGGAAGCGTTAGTTTTTGATGGACCAACATGTCAACAATGCTTGGTGATAAAAATGTTCAACCAGACCATTTGAATACTAGCAATTGACAGTGTTCATTCGAAGGGTGGTTATGAAATGGCTTACAATTTTGAAATGTTCTAAAGGGGCCAGCCTCACATATTAAATAAAAATGATATAGAAATATAAAGAGGGACTCATTCACATTCTCCTTTCATAAAATTTAATAAACTTCAGCTATCAAGAAAACTTACATATGTATGACTTAGTCAACAGGGACATGTCACCTTGCAAGATATCATTAATGATATATTCTATGGAAATTCATACTTTTAGCTAAATTGCATTATAAACATTGGATTAAATACCCACATAGTATAAGGACAGCTCAGTGTCAAAAACGGCCGTCATTTCGGCGGTGAAAACCGCATGTAAATTCTCCTAGCACAATGATGAGAGAGGTTTTAATGCGATATTCTCCGCCCACATGGCCGCAGTTTCTTGACATTGACAGGACAGTTTCATAACTGATTGTTATCTAAGCTGGGCTTAGACTATCAGCTATTATGGTATTTTAGGTAAATATAGTTTAGATTGGATTAATGTGATTTACGTACCATTTGTTATGTCAACTTCAGGTTATCTACATAAGACATATATCGGAATTATCGTATAAAATTAAGTGGATGGAGCTGGACAGCTCAGTACCGAAAACGACTGTTTGTTACTGAATTTAACATATAGAAAGAGTATCATCCACTAATCACAACCTAACCCAGGCATCTCCAACTCGAGCACTTGGTGCTGGTGCGCTCCGGTGCAGAACCCAGCGGCAACGGTGCCGTTTCCCCTCCACCTCGACCGCACAGCCTTCGCGACTGAGAGAAACATATAAGCCGACTGTCTCTCGGGGTCTCGGGCGCGGGCCATTTCTTAATAGGACAAGACAAAGTGGACAGGTTTTTTAGCGTCTTAACGTGCATCTTTTTTAAACTATGTCATTGATAGAAAAGCAAAATGTTTAATTTGTCACACGGTATTGTTGCTTTGAAAATCGCAAAAAGTGGGAGACCGTTTACCGACGGTGCACTTGTCAAAGAATGCTTAGTGGAGTGTGCAGAAATATTGTGCCCATCTCTTGTAAGCAACTTTGAGACAATTAGTATGTCCGAACAAACAATTTCTCGTCGGTTACTTGAACTTGGTGCAAATTTAAAAAAACAACTGCGGGAAAATGTGCCCATTTTGTGCAGTATTCTATAGTTCTCGATGACAGTAAAGACATTTCTGATACAGCATAATTAGCTGTTTTCGTTAGAGGTGTCGAAATAGTCTTTACTATCATCGACGAACTACTAGACGTTATCCCGCTCAAATATACAATGGTCAGAGAAGATATTTTTGATGCTGTAGAATACACAATGAATGACATGGGTATACTAGTCAAAAGTTTGCGTAATGTTGTTACTGATGGAGCTACAGCAATGTTATCGGAAGCACAAGGTTTTACTGGGCGAATGAAAATAAAAGTACGCGACGCTGGGCTACCTCCGATATCATCGGTACACTGCATATTACATCAGGAACAACTATGTGCAAAAACCTTACGTAATTTCAAATCTATTATGGATGTAGTAATAACATGTGTCAAGTTCTGCAGAAAGCAAGGTCTCAACCACGGCAGTTTGAAGTATTATTAAAAGACCTGGAAGCAACTTACAGTGGCATACCCTTTTACTGTGTTACGCGCTGGTTAAGCTGCGCAAAAGTGTTAAAGTTTTTTTTTAAATCACTGACGACGTTGAGATGTTAATGCAAATGAGATTTTTACGACGCCATCTTCAGTGCTTTTCGAAACAGAACCGACGCAGTTCCAAATGGAACTGATTAAGCTTAAATGCGATACGATCCTTAAGGATAGATACTACCACTACAATAGTAATTTAATTTCGTTTTATCAAGGTGTTAAGCAGCAAGATTTTCCCAAAATTCTTGCACTGGCCTTGGAAACAGCTCCATGTTCGGTACAACGTACTTCTGCGAGCAGATGTTTTCTTTAATGAATTTGAACAAAACTTAAAACAGGTCTTTGTCTGATGTGTCCTTAGAGGCGATACTCAGAATTTCCACTGCTCAAGCCACGGTACCAAATCTTAGTAAACTTGTTGAATCGGAACGCTGTCAAAGATCATCTTAAGAATAAATGCGTTTACGTCGAAATTATGAACATTATTGTATCACCCGCGCGTTAACTCGATCAGACCAATTCAAATGTCAATACTAAACTTAGTAATAATATGTAGTTTCAAAGTAAATGAACAAAAAGGGCTTGGTATTCCGATGAAAGTACCTGTCATATCGACTTGAAGATACGTGACGGTAGGATTTTACCATAACCTATACGTATATCAACGGTCATGACGTTTCATATTCATTTTACATATACTTTCAAACATCTAGTAGCCCGGTATCAAACTGACAGACTCAAATGAGCTTTTAAATGCAAGCATGAAGCATACAAACAGGATGTATTATTTTGATCTATTTGCATTGCCTGCTATAGCTTTCAGTCGGTACGACAAAAACTTCTGGCGGAAATCAGTTTGTCATACCATGTTTTTCCAAAATTTCCATCAAACCTTCTAGGCTTCATTGGATTCGGTGAGGACGGTGAAATTCTCTTGTCACGCTGTATCTTTAAGTCGGTATGACAGGTACTTCTGGCAGGTTGCGCCACATCTTACTGAGCTCTTCTTGTTCATTTACTTAAAAACTATATATTATTACTAAATTTAGTCGAATCCGCGATAAAGGTATACTCAATGCCACCAGCTCCCGGGTCATTTCTATTCGCAGGGTGCTACGGTTAGCACATCTTCCTCGCGATGCGTATTACGCTGCCTAATTCCTTCCCCACCTTCACGGAGTCACTCCGCAGCACTGTGCTGTGAGGTGAGCGGTGCTCGGCGCTGCACTTGTGGCACCCGAGTTGGAGAGGCCTGACCTAACCGAATGCGGCCGATAGCTGAATGGTCTCCATATTTAACTTCTGTAACTTTTTATATAATCGAAGTTTGCAAGACAAGTATCCCCATCAACTAGCCTATGTACAGCTCCATAGAAAGTGGACACAATACTCGAAAAGTTATCCATCTAGCGCTTTATAATCGATCTGATAGACCTGAAGGTTGCATCAGTTGTCTGTTTTGTTGTGTCTGCGCTGCAGTGCCGCCGCTAAATCTTGTTTCAGCGCCTGCTGTTGCCGGCTCTCCGTTAACGATTGCACAGATCTTAGGCTGTTCACGATATCCTTGGTCTTGCTGAAGTAGATCTCATTCAGGGTATTACGGATCTTGTTCTCCATATCTTCCACCATCCGACCAATGTTTGCAATGTGAGGATTCATGTCGTTCACTGTTGCGTCTTGCTCAGTCTGGAATATATGTAAGTTATGTGAAAAAAAAATTTTATTCACGACTGTAATACTGGACTCTTTCAAAAGCAGAATCATCTTGAGCAGCTGAGACATTCTCCCTATACCATACCATTTATTGACGACATTACGTATATTTTGTGGCCATATTATAGAACTAAAGATTTCATGAAATGATCAAGCAGCAGCGGCGGCGGTAGACAGCTGATAGCAGACGACAGTGCTGGAGGGAGGTTGGTTGAAAGTTGAGACTGAGGTTACGAGGCACATTGAAATACACTTCCTGACTTCAAAATATGAAAGTGTAAGAATGAATTGAACATAAGGTGGTATGTTTAGCACACCATCCCCCTTTCAAAGGTATTAAAGTCATTGGGAGATCAATGATTTTGTTTTTCTTTGCATAGTGCACTATTTTCCACTCAGTCTTACTCTGATTGCCTTTATCATAAAATTTGAGTAGCTATTTCTTTTTTTAGTTTCTATATAATAACTGTCTCTAATTCCATATAGATTCACAACAAACAAAATTTACCATAATATATCAGCGAAGTTCAGATGTAGTTGTTCTTCCACTCAACTCAATGATATATTTGTAGAAACACTAAAAACATTGCTCTTTTAGCATTACGTTAGGGTTGACGTCCCAACTCACCAATTTCCAGATGCTCTAATTATACAGAGTGGCGCATCGAAAACGAAACAGACGCATTTACTGGCAGCTCAGTTTTTTTTTGAGAAACGCTCAGACCCGTCGATTTTGTTTTCGACAAGGCACAAGTTTGGCAAAAAATCACGTTAGCACGTGCAGCCCCATAAGCGGGGGTGATACCACCCTTATTCCCTTTATAATGATATAAAATTAATGTACTCAGTATTTTTGAAGATTTATTGATTTAAAGCTTAAATAAAATTAATACATCATCATTAGTGGAGATCAATACATTTGGCAACAAAGTAATTTAAAAATGAAGAATGAACTGACCCGTTAGGCAAGTAAATGTTGAAAATGGCCACCATGACTCTCCATGCAATAATAAAGATTTTGCTCAAAACGTTGCCGCACATTTTGCAATATTTGAGGAGTAATTTGAAAGCATTCATTCACAATTCTTTGTCGCAGGTCTTCTAATGATGTTGGCTGAGTAGCATAGATTTTGCTTTTTAAATGACCCCACATAAAGAAATCCAAAGGTGATCAATCTGGCGATCTTGGGGGCCATTTAATGGCACCTCTTCTACCAATCCATCGATTTGGAAACGTCTGATCTAAATATTGTCGAACGCGTAATGCGTAATGTGGTGGGGCACCATCCTGTTGGAACATCAACCTATTCGCAATGTACCGCCGATCATTCTGATTTTCAATTATGGCTGTTAATGCAGGATCTATGGCGTCTTCCAGTAATTCCAAATACATCTCACCGGTCAAAGTTCCAGGTAAGAAAAAAGGACCAACTAAATGATCGCCAAAAATACCAGCCCAAACATTTAATTTTTGTGGCTGCTGTGTATGAACCTCATGATAAATTCTGGGATTAGAATCGGACCAATATCGGCAGTTATGACGATTTACTACGCCATTTAAGAAAAAGGAACATTAGTCGGAAAAGCAAGTGTTGAATAGAAAATGTTCATCGTTTATAATTCGTTCACTCATATCTTCACAAAATTATCGCCGATCAAAATCGTCTTCATTAAGTTCTTGTACCAGGTGAATTTGATACGGATGATAACTATGGGCCTTTAGAATCCGTTGGACAGTAGGTCGACTAACACCACACACAGTCTCCAATTTGCGGGTACTTAACGTAGGATCTATAATATATATTTCTATCAATACATAAACTTGCCCTAAAACCACCACTTCTATTGCTTCGTTCCTTATGGGATTTTCAATGTTGCGTTTTTTATTGGCGACTGACCCAGTATCCCAAAATTTAGCTACAAGTTCTAGAACATATTTTCGATGCACGTTACTGTTCTCATGTCGCTCATTAAATATTTCTGCTGTTCTATTAGCGCACTGATTATTTCCGAAAAATATTTCGATAAATTCAACTTTCTGCTGTGGAATATACCATGGTTAATTTATGTAATAAAGCGTTACAAGTTATTTTAGCAACAAAGTTCGGTCAAATCAATCGCAAACTATGTACTAAATTCCTATTTAAAATAAGTACGAGATATTTCCTTATCTTTCTTCAAGAAATAACTTTTTTGCCACAAAAAAACCCTCCAATAGCTATTTTCAACATAAAATGATAAACAAACCATGGGCGTAGTGAAGAAAAGCATTTACTTATTAAGTAAAATCTTTTAGTCAAATTTCTTCTAAAAAAAAAACTAATCTGATGTACCTATTAAAGTCTACTTTAAGCTTTAAATCAATAAATCTTCAAAACTACTGAACTGAAGCTCATGTATTTTAAATCATCATTATAAAGGGATTTGAAAGACCTTTAAAATAAGGTAACTCGACCCCCCTTTCCATTTAAGATTTTAGGGTTGGTGTCACCCCCGCTCAGGGGCTGCACGTGTTAACGTGATTTTTGCCAAACTTGTGTCCCCCTGTTTTTCAAAAAAAAAATGAGCTGCCATGGGTCTGTTTCGTTTTCTATGCCCCCCCTGTATAGGATGTACCACACAAAGAAGTATGGCTGATTTTGGAAGATTTAAATATTTGGCTAGACACTATATTGTACTAAATTTGGGTCTCCTCAGTCTTGAATTATTTTTAGTAATGATGTGTTTTTGCCATCATGGAATAATAGTGAAAGTCAATGCTGAGCCACAGTATGACCTTATTTGTAATTATTGATGTTGTTTTCATAGCAATTTCACTAGCAGTTAGTTATTCTGAAATTTCACAAAAAGCAGAGCCCTTGCAAGAACCATTTTTCATCTCAGGCAAGTTCCTTGACAAAAGTTTCACTGAACCAGTACTCACCTGCCTAGTTAGGCTTCCTCCTAAATTCATGGTACCTGAACCAGGTTTATTCGTCTGCAACCAAAGCATTGCTGTGGATGTCATTTTATAATGGGAGTTACGGCCTGTACTTTTCTCTTGAACTTCAACTACATGCAAGGAGTCCCAACACCCTTTGATTTTTCTACTACCATCACCAGTTTTCTTTATGAGTATCACACCTGAACAATGAAAATTACTATGTTAGACATAAAACCAAATGAAACTTTGTTTCTCATGTAAGAATTGTTGGGCTAATGATGAACAATCAGTCTTCTGGTCTTTTAAATGAATTTTCAAAATATAAATGGATTTAGAAAAAGGCATCTTGAGACATCTATTAGTCTTTATTTATTGAAAAATATAAATGTATAAATGAGGCAAGGTAATGGAACCCTTAACATAACCATGTATTTAGAGGTTTTTGCAGGTTTACCATGTACACAACAGTGCAATATGTAATTCTGAAAAAAATATCTTGGATGGAGCACTTTTTATATGGAAATTTGTTTTTCCAAAATAGAATTTTCCAGCAATACATGGACATCAAAAGCATCACAAAACAAGTAATGCTGGAGAATAAATCACAGGATATCGATTATTGATCACAGGACAAAATGGATGTAAATTTTTACAGTGCTGGATTCTCTTTTTAGTTCATTTGATTCTTTATCTTGTTTTAGAAAATAATGTTCAAGTTACTGTTTTTATTTGTTTTTAATTATTTATTATTTATGTTATTTCAGAAAATATTGTTTTAGTTAATTAAATAGCCTATTTTTGTTAATTTTACACATTTATATTTTAGTTTGTTCATTTGTTGTTTTTTCCCTATCATTTCTACAACATACTGTTTTAGATTATTTATTCATTTTTGGCATATATACCTTTTTAATTCTTTTATTTTCATCATCATATCTCCTGTTGTCTATTCTCCAATGTCTCTTGTTTTGTACTTGACATCAAGATATTGCTGGAAAATGGTATTTTGTCAAAACAAATTCCCATATAAAAAGAGCTCCATGCAAGATTTTTTTTTGCAGAATTAGATATACTGTTGTGCACATATTAAAACTGCAATAACCCCTAAATATGTGGTTATGTTAAGTGTACCATCACCATGAGGCAATTACTAAACTGGTTTACCTGCAAAACCATGATCCAAGTCCCAAAAGTAAACAGAAGACACACCTCCCTCAAAATACATTTCCCTATACTGATCAAATGCATGATTTGCATCTAATTCCATCTTCCTCAAACGTTCTGATGGCATAGAACCATCATCTAAAGGTGGGTAATAGGTATTAGACCACGGAGACCTACAAATAGACAAGTATGAATAAGACAGTATGATGCACTGTATAGATAAGACATTAAATTACCTGTAAGAATCACCATCCCTATTGTAATCACATAATAAGTAATCTTTTCCAGTTTCCTTATCTTTTGCGATTTTTAGGGGTTGGTCAACTGAAGATAGTAAATCCTCACAAAGGCTTGGTACTAGATCTATTAAATCACTTAAGTTTTTCTCTATTTGCTGTGGAGGCAAACGCCTCATCAAATCCAAAGCACAGTCAAACTGATCACCCTGAAATAAGCATTATATATAGAATGGCGAGTCCTCAACACACGTTTGGAACAAGACTGATGGGGGCAAAGTTGTGGGTGTGACACTTATTCTGTAAATTCACAAACATAATCTAATGCTTGCAACCAAATGCATATGATTGAAATGTAGAATGTATATGTGAAACTTTACCATTTTTCCTAATTTCTGAATAATTGCCCCTAAAAATTTCAATAATTACTTGCAGTTGACGTTTGTCAACACAGAAAATGGGTTTGGCGTGTATCTTTGAAATTGATATTTAATACACGTTGACAAGTAGCAAATTTGAAATAGGAGCGTGGTTTTACTAGTAACGCCTATTCTCACGTGAGATGCACATGTCTAAGATAAAACACCACGTGACCAGCAATACTGCTGTTGAGTGATTTGTCCAATTATTGCACTAAAGATGGCGGTCGTTCATGCTCGAGGAGACAGAGACATTGTGGCGCGAAAATGTGGAGAATGGAGAGGGATTCGCACCCGGCCGCGGCTGGCACCGAGCACCGTGCAATGCACCCGCGCGAGCACCCTGTTAAGCCCTGGTATACAGTGTTGTAGACCCTACAGATTTTTCGGTATTTCTACCGAAATGAGACCCCATATCAATCATACATACACTTACACTTAGACAATCGGGTACACGAGGACGTAGAGTCGAGTTGCCTATAATTATAGTCTATATATTTTGTGATTATAGTCGCACATCCCTTACTCCGCATTCCCTGTATTGGTTTTTGTGTGCACAAGAGGTACGGACTGGTATATTACTGTCATAACCTCATCAACACAATAAGGAACCCAAAGCTCGTCTGTTTTTTATAATATTAAAATATTCACATCTTTCAAACAAGAATGGAAAAATGAGTTTACAGGATGGTGGCAAAGTAGTTTGAAGAGCAACCAGTATGCTCATTGCAAAAGTTTTAATAAACTGGTTGATACTTTTTTCAGGAAAAGATGCTCGCAAAAATCCCGATTTGGTCCAATGACTCTACCGATTTTGTCCAATGACACTATCTACCGATTTCGTCTTTTTCGGTTCGGCAACACTGATTGTATATAGAATATTCACTTGTATATGATATGGTTGTATATACCACTCGTAACCTCACTTTTGCTCTTGTGTTGATTTGCAAAATATCGTTTGCCGTTTGTGGCAGTTTATAGTAAAAGTAGGTCACTATGAAATCTCAAACAGAATATAAATTAAAATCACCTCCTGAAGATGCCATATCCTCTGTGAAGTTCGGACCAAATACAAATCAGTTCCTCCTAGTCAGTTCCTGGGATGGCTATGTGAGACTTTATGATATTACAGCTAATAACTTAAGACAAAAATATGCCCACGACTCAGCTGTGCTAGATTGCAGCTTTACAGATGCTGTACATTTATACAGTGGAGGATTGGACAGTACATTAAAATCCTTTGACTTCAATGCTACTAAGGAAAGTACTGTTGGAAGCCATGCTAATGCTATCAAGTGTGTAGAGTACAACAGCGAAGTTAATGCTATAATCACAGGTAAGTTGATAGGTTCATGCCATTTTTCACTTAATGTTTTGTGTGTATTACAAATCCACTAATATGAATAATATTCATAATTCAACACTTACTGATTGGTGATATCTCCACCAATACCAAATTAGTGGGTTCAAATGTACCTTCACAATAATCTTTAAGGCACTATATAAGGAAGTTTCCACAGTAAAATTAATATATAAAGGTACCATGAATTTATATTTTATCTTTCAATCATTTTTTCACTTCTTATAGGCAGTTGGGATCATCATGTAAAACTATGGGATCCCAGAACTCCAATTTGTAGTGGCAGTTACAATCAGTCAGAGAAGGTTTACACAATGAGTGTTTGTGGTGAAAAACTGGTTGTTGGTACAGCAGGAAGAAAAATCTTAGTTTGGGATGTCAGAAACATGTCTTACACACTGCAAAAACGAGAAAGTAATTTAAAATATCAAACTAGAGCAATCAGGTGTTTTCCCAATAAACAAGGCTATGTATTAAGCAGTATTGAAGGTAGAGTGGCAGTGGAATATCTAGATACCAATCCAGAGGTACAGAAGAAGAAATATGCTTTCAAATGTCACAGGATAAAAGAAGATGGTTTGGAGAAAATTTATCCTGTAAATGCAATTAGTTTTCATCCTATCCACAACACATTTGCTACTGGTGGATCAGATGGTTATGTCAACATTTGGGATGGGTTTAATAAGAAAAGATTGTGTCAATTCCATCAGTACCACACTTCAGTGACCTCACTCAGTTTTGGCCACAATGGAACTGTATTAGCTATAGCATGTTCTTACTTTTTAGAGGAAGATAATCCTCCAAATCCATTGCCTGAAAATACTATTTATATAAGGACTGTCACTGATCAAGAAACTAAACCTAAATACAGTGCATCATAAGCTTATGTACCTTAATTTTATTTTCATTTTAGATGCTGCACTATAAAAGTGTTCTTTGTGGTATAGCATTCTAAGTGATTACATGTTATTTAATTAATTCAATCTAATTATATTAAGACTATCATCAATGAAATTAAAATGATCATTGTATGAACTTCATATATAAAAATTAAATGCAGCAAATAAATAGATATGGCTCAAAAAGCGTTTACTCTGAGGCATATATCCATTTTTCTTTATTTTTTTCTGTAGCCAAATTATGTATAAAATAGAGTTGTCTATACAATATACAATCATTTTCAGTTAGTATCTGTAAACTAATGCTCCATGAGAAATAAAGTGAGTTTTAAAAAACTTTGAATATTTCAATGACAAATTACTTTCTTGGAATAAAAGTTAGTCACTAGTGGCCCATACACGGGCGGATTGTCTGTCATATCTGATACGTGGCGAGCCAAATTCGTAAAGAAATCCGTGCGTTAATGGTTAATGACGAGCCAGATACGGCGCGATAATAATTTCGTACACATCAAATCTGCAGGTTCTAACTCGCCAGCTACATCTCGTCGTTAGTGGATACGCGCGAATAATTTATTTATTATTAATATTATCATCATGGGTGAGTGGACACGAGAAATTTTAACGGTCTTTATAGAAATGTACAGAAGTCATACTTATGGCAAATAAAAGCAAAAGAATATGCCAACAAAAATCTGAAAAATCGTGCTAATGATGAGCTGGTACGTTATTGCCAGGCTTACTTTCCAAACGTAGATCGTGGCTTTGTGACAAAAAAAAATAACAAAATATCCGAGCGAGCGTAAATAAAGTAAAAGAAGTGGCACATCTACCGAAGATGTGTACATACCGACACTTTTGTAAGTATTTTAGGTCTCTTCTGCTGTTAAACAAAACTGTTTTTTTTATTATTTATAGGTACTACGATTTGCTCTTATTTACATAGCCCAAGGCACTCCACTAGATAGCATTTCAAACATTGGATTGCCCACTACAAATTCAAATGAGACTGAAGAAGAAAATATTGGTGTCGACGAATCTTTCGAAGTGCGAGTGCGAGAAAATATAAACGGTGAATCAGAAAGCAAGAGACAAGAAGTAAGTTAATTAATATATTACTGAAATATGAAATATAAATAAGTCATGTGAACAACTCAAAAAATATTTAAGCTCTCCCTTGGAGAATCATATCATGCTGCCACTCCACTTCTCAGAGTCCATTAAAATATTCCAAATACTTTTGTCGATTATTTATTGCTTCCAATGGAACACTTTTCGTTGGATTTGGCTGAAGTGGAACAAGGCTATTATGCGTATCTCTTCTCCAGTCTCCTTCAATAATTTGTGATTATTGAGATCTTCAGCATCCACTGATGATGGAGTTATGTAAGAATGACTGGTTTTTCTTAAAAAATTATGTAGCATACAGACTGCTAAAGTAACAAATATTGCTTTTTGGGGATCAATACATATTTTTGTGTGTAGAATTCTAAATCGAGATGCCATCAAACCGAAAGCGTTTTCAACCACATTTCGACATCTGGAAATACGGTAATTATAAATACGTCATTCATTCGTCAAATTTCTCTGAGAAAATGGCTTTAAAATGTGTTCATGTAGAGCAAAAGCTTCATCTCCAACTATGACAAAATTTAATTTCTCGTCGTTTTCATCGTTGTTTGGGAATTGTCGTTCGCCCTTCACTAACATGTCGTAAAAATTTGTTGACGATATAACTCCACCATCAGATAATCTTCCTTGTTTTCCTACATCAACGTATACGAATTCGTAGTTGGAATTAACTAATGCCATCAGCACAATACTATAAAAATTTTTGTAATTATATTTTTGTATGTAGAATTCTAAATCGAGATGCCATCAAACCGAAAGCGTTTTCAACCACATTTCGACATCTGGAAATACGGTAATTATAAATACGTCATTCATTCGTCAAATTTCTCTGAGAAAATGGCTTTAAAATGTGTTCATGTAGAGCAAAAGCTCATCTCCAACTATGACAAAATTTAATTTCTCGTCGTTTTCATCGTTGTTTGGGAATTGTCGTTCGTCATTCACTAACATGTCGTAAAACTTTGTTGACGATATAACTCCCATCAGATAATCTTCCTTGTTTTCCTACATCAACGTATACGAATTCGTAGTTAGAATTAACTAATGCCATCAGCACAACACTATAAAAATTTGTGTAATTATAATATTGAGCCCCTGATAAAGCCGGACGTTCAATCTGAATATGTCTTCCATCGAGTGCTCCACCACAATTTATCATCTGCCAACGATTTTTGAAGCCTTGCGCAATTTCTATCCATTCTTGTTTTGTAGTCGGAAACTAAAAAACGGAAGAATGCAAAAATTAACATTCGCACCAGTCAATTATCTTCAGTATCTCTGATTTTAAAAATGTTTACCATAATGTTCCAACAGATTTGTATGAAATGCACTAACAAAAATACATTTGTAGGTTTTTAAGACACCAACTACATCTTCTAGTAGACTTTTATCGCAAAAAAGAAAGGCCAACGACAATGCAACAGAATTAAAGAAATTCATGAATGTCTGTTCCACCACTTTATTGCAAAAAGAGGAGGTTGATGAATTTATGGCGATTGCTATAAATATCGCAGCGAAACTGAAGAAGAAGTCATCAGAACAAGCATATTTATCAGAGTCATTAATTAGTCAAATAATTACAAAAGGCTTGTTCAATGAGTTGTCACAGAGATGTCTGCTGCCATTCCTCCTGATTACTCAAGATCTACATCTTCTGCAGGAAGCAATTCTACAGATTTAAGTGACTTTTATATCAATGTGACAAGATTGTATAATCTTTGAATAACAGTTTTATTGTTGGCAAAAATGTACCTTTTTTGATTTACCTTAAATGTATTCTTTTCGCAATATTTCTAAATTAGAGTTTCTTTCTTACCTTCATATATTTTTCTTTCAATACATTATACAGGGTTACAGGAAAAGTCGTGCTAGATCCGTTAAGGGCGTGTAGTACCCATCATTTCTGACTTATTTCATTATGAAACACCCTACCCTAAACTTAACCCTTTTCGAGATATTCAACTTTTAATGTTTTTATTGAAAATTGCCGATTTTTAGGCTACTAAATGTATTTATTTTTATTTTGTGTGTGTTATTATTACTATTATTGCATTTTAACATGTGTAATGAGATGCTTTAGGACGTCAATCATTAAAATAGTCCATAAGTTAATTGAATAGGCCGTAGTAGATAAGTGAATGTTAAGAAATTGAAAAAAATATCAGAAAGTTTATTTTTCTCGAAGGGATATCTAAAAAAAATATTATGGCAATTGTTCGGCAGATGTGTTTTAAAATATCTATGTTTTATCAGCTATCTAACGAGGTATAACAATCTAGGATTTTATTTAAATGCATTGAAAAAACTTAGTTTCATAGGCGACAGTGGAGAAGAAAATTGATACTTAGCCCTAAAAAGTAAAATAAAACAATAGGTAAGCATGAAATATCATTTATTAAATCAGGTTTTCACACAACTTTTTCTTACTCTACAGTTCATGTTCAACATGGCTGCCTCTGTTTCTAATACATTGTCGCATCCTTCTACGGAGACCAGTCTTTACAACTGCAGTGGTCAACGTTGTCCTTAGTTGATTTGCTGCATCGACAATCCTTTCTCTTAATTCTTCCACAGACGAAACTGGATTTGGCTCGCTGTAGACAAGACTTTTCATGCACCCCCACACATGAAAATCCATGGGGGTTAGGTCCGGACTTCTTGCTGGCCATGGCAACGGCCCACCTCGTCCTATCCATTTGTTTGGATAATTTGTGTCCAGCCAGTCTCTGCCACTTCTCCTGAAATGGGCAGGGCAGCCATCATGTTGGAACCACATGTCCCTTCTCAAGTTGAGTGGCAGATCATCCAGCAAATCTCTGAAGTCTCCTCTCAAGAAGTTTTCGTAATTTTCCCCATTTAGATTGTCCGGGAGAAAGTAAGGTCCAATCAAATGGTTGGAGATAATCCCCATCCACACATTCACGCTGAATCTTCGTTGGGACCTCGCCACTCTTTTCTTATTGGGATTCCTTAGTACTTTTGGGGCCCAGTAATGGGCGTTGTGATAGTTAGTTATGCCATCGTTATCAAATTTGGATTCATCTGTCCATAAGATATTTCTTAGAAAATCTGGGTCTTCTACGTCAGCATTTAGCATAAATCTGCTGAAGTCCAACCTTCTCGCGGGGTCTCCTTCTTCAATAGTGTGTACCGGCGTGTAATGGTACGGGTATAGGCCAGCAGTATGCACTGTAAACCACACTCTCCATTGCGAAAGTCCCAGATCACGGGCAACACGATTAGTGGAAATGGTCGGATCCGCTCGAAAGCGTTGCACTATCTCATTGTCCTGCAGTTCTTCGTTGTCATAAATTCGTGGTCTTCCCAGGTCTGTATTTCGTCTCAAAACAGAGCCAGTTTGTCGAAGTCTTAGATAAACTCTGTTAAAAACGGCCACATCCGGCACTCGACGACCGGGGAAGCGAGTTCTGTATTCGTTGCGAGCTTGCGCAGATACACAATCGCAGTATCCGTAACAAATAAGCATATCAGCATATTCCTCAGGTGTGTAGGACGTCATCTTCAACACTTCCGTATCACAAGTACAAATCAGAGTCCAGTGAACAAGCACAGTATTCACAAATCAGAAGAAATAGTCCAGAATCCTAGCCAAGTCGAGGAAAAGAGCAAAACGATATCACATCTACTATGTACGAAGCACAAAAGCAGACTGACAACCAAAACAACATCCCGTGTTGGATTTCCAGCCCTAACCGGTTATTATAATATGTTTTCTTTCATTCGCACCCACATTAAATCGTCATGTCTCGCTCGCACGGTGCGTCTAAACTTGAAGGAGAATAGGCGTGGGAACTGCTACTGGAGCGTCCCAACTACTTTTTTTCTACGAAATGTAATACAAATCCTAGATTGTTATACCTCGTTAGATAGCTGATAAAACATAGATATTTTAAAACACATCTGCCGAACAATTGCCATAATATTTTTTTTAGATATCCCTTCGAGAAAAATAAACTTTCTGATATTTTTTTCAATTTCTTAACATTCACTTATCTACTACGGCCTATTCAATTAACTTATGGACTATTTTAATGATTGACGTCCTAAAGCATCTTATTACACATGTTAAAATGCAATAATAGTAATAATAACACACACAAAATAAAAATAAATACATTTAGTAGCCTAAAAATCGGCAATTTTCAATAAAAACATTAAAAGTTGAATATCTCGAAAAGGGTTAAGTTTAGGGTAGGGTGTTTCATAATGAAATAAGTCAGAAATGATGGGTACTACACGCCCTTAACGGATCTAGCACGACTTTTCCTGTAACCCTGTATACAACCCGACAGGTCTCTGGTATGAGCTGCCCTAAAGTTTGAGCTGCAATGCATGTAGAATATTTCAAGTCTTCATATGATCTTCCAGTGGCCAGAAATCGAAGAGTGGCAATTAGTCGTTCTTTGGCAGGAATTGCTTGTCGCATTACTTTATTCTGTTTCTGTTGTAAATGTTGTCCAACAAGGTTTAATAAAATGTTAAACGTATTTTCGTCCATTCGTAAATAATTGTGAAAATCATTTGGATCAGCAGCTCGCAGCTCTCTCAAAAGTGACATATGACTAAAATCGTTTCGTCGCAATAACCAATTCTTGGCCCACTTTCTTCTCACTCTCTTTTTGCGTAGATATTCTGAAACCACTATGATGCCAGCACAAGCTATAGCCCTTCGTTTCTTGCTTTGCAAAAACATTTTTAACTTTTCTGCCACTGCCACGACCAGATCTCTTAGCTCACGTAAAATACTACGCGCCAGATCGAATCTGTCTGAAATGTGTGATTTTACTCCACTAACTGACGAATTTGATACCTCAAATCAGGCTCGAAGATCCGGAAAGCATGCATGGTATGTTAATTAGCGGACAAGGAAAGATTTAGTCCGTCCAATCCGGATCTGTCGAACCAAATCTCTACGTATCTGAACTATACGGATAATTCGTCCATGTATGGGCCGCTATTACATCTTAGGAATTCAAAGATTTCTCAAATAGAGAAAATTACTATGGGAAGGAGTGATTTAAATATCAAAGAACATCAAAATATAACATTTATTTGAATGACATCAATAACCATAATGCAAAATTTGTAAAAAATATCTAAACTCCAAAAGCTGAAATTATTCCAGTATAAAAATCCATAAGTAGCTATGATACTTATTATCATAATAAGAAATCATTTTCATATGATAAGAAATTCAGTTAACCAAAATACTGTTCTGCTTTATCCTTGCAGAGATAAATTGTTCAAATATAATATATTTATAGGTATATTATACCTACTTTGTTGAACATTTTTTTTAAGAACAATAGTATTAACAACAATTAAAAGTATAAAAATTGCAAAGTATTTATAAACTTGCTTTTTGCTTTCCCAAAGACCTGTAGAGAGTAGTTTTTCTCAGATACACTTTTTATATAATTTCCTGAATCAGTTGTACTAAACAATCTAAAACAACCTGCATCAAATTGTCTACTATTATTGATTGGACGTTAGGATAAGCATTGTTTCTCACTATACTAGAACCGGGAGAGTATTGTATATTGTCACAAATAGTTTCACGCTTGTTGGGTGAATGTGGTTCAGAAATGACCAAAGATTGGGCACTATTTGGTCTGGACATAACATCTGAGCATCTATAATTCTCACTTGATGCAGGTTTTTTGAACTGAACTTCTGTGCTAGAGTGGTTCAAATTTTGTAAATTTTTTGTCTTATCATTATTTTCTGAGGAAGAAACAATATCAGCGGCAGTTACGCATGAACCATTAGTTCTCGATAATTTGGATGAGTATTGATCATTATTAGGCATCACATCAAAGCAAGCATCACACTCCTTTAATACAAGATTTTCATGCTGCTGTTTTGAGATAGGGATGTTTTGTAAATTGCTTGCCAGAACAAAATTTTCCAAAGCAGGAGCAATATCAGTGGTAGTTACAAATGAACCATTGTCCAAATTGAATGATGATTGATAATTATTAAGCATCACATCAAAACAGTTGTCATCATTTTTATTTGATGCAAGTTTCCCAATCTTTACATTTGTAGCAGAAGTGTGTATGTATGTATCATATACATTATTTTCCAGAGAAGAATCTGATGAAATGGTTGAATATTGATCATTATTGAACAATGCCACATCAATCATAACAGTATTACTTTCATTTGTGCTAATCATTTTGCATTCCTGCCCTTTGCTACAATCATTTATATTCTTTGTATGTTCAGTTGTTGCAGTTATTGCAATACCATCCAAAGATTGATGTATGTCTTTACTGTGATTAGCAATCTCTTTTTTGCAGGTATCCAACATTGTAACATGATCAGATACATTATTTTTTAAGGTCTCCTTTGGATATGTGGCTTCATTTTTCCCTTGAGATTGTTTATAAAAAAACAACGACGTTCGTTCTTGCAATCCACCACCAGCTTTAAGAAACTCTAGTAAAAGACTGTGACACTTATGATCCTTCTGTATGAATTGAAATAATTCTCCAGGAATCATAATGCCCATATGTGATATATTTTCATGACTCTTTATTAGGTCAGTGTGTGAAGCCAATATTTCTGATATATGCCTCAATTTCTTACTTACACCATGTTGCTCTGATGGCTTGGTGGCAGTCTTTGCTATAGCATTAAGTAATGTGTCCTGTGCCTGATCAGATTTTATTGTAAGTGGTTTATCAATTCCCCTCTGCACTGTCTGTTCAACATTAGTCATTGAGGAAACATTTTTGAATCTTCCATCTCCAAAAATTTCATGAGACGTGGCAGATATGTTGGTAGTGTACTCAAAGGGAGCATTACCTTGAAAAAATCGAATTATATCATTTTCAAGTTTGTCTATATCACTAGTAACATTATTTGTAATTGGATCTTTGATAAATGCCTTATTGCTTGATTCTGCTGCTTTTGATAAAGTGTCACAAACTAGATTATTTTGTAATGGCATAGAAGCAACATTTGGCATTAAGGATGAAACATTCAATACCCTGTTATTGAAATTTATGAGAGTGAGCTTTTCTTTTGACTTACATATAGGTGGAAAATCAGATTCACTAAATATACATTTATCTTCAACATTGCCCAAATTTGTCAGTACATACTCTTTTTGAGGAACTTTTTTGCTACTTTCAAGTGTTTGCATACTTGATTTACTTTTTTCTGGTGGCTTCTGGCTACTTGAGACAGAAAATGTTTTTGTAGAATATTGCATAGTTTTGCTTTGCTCAACTTTTTGCAATTCAGTTTTGTTTGTACTTGGTTTGCTTATTTCTTGTTTTGTCTGATTACTTGAGGCATGTGGAACTTTCATAGTGTTTTGGATATTATTTTTGCTATGCACAAGGGCTATATTGTTTTGAGAAGTTTTCCTGATTTGTTTAGCACCAGCACCAAAAGAAATGGATTTATCTAAACTTCTTTGATCATTTGTAGGCAATCCCTTTTGTGGTTCCTTTTCAATTGCCTTGGGATTAGTTACAAAGATGGGATAAAATAGAGAATCAATTTTATTACACAGTTGTTGATTCTCAGATTTTCTATAATCTACTTCAGTTATAATACTTTCAGATGTATTTGATACTTCAGTAGAGACAAAACTTTCAGAAGTTTTCTTTTTTGTTCTCTTCTTCTTTTTGGCTTTCTTTTTGCCTTCAATGCTTTCTTTAAATGGTTCAAGAATTGTGTTTTTAATTACTGAATTATGTACTACTTCAACTGATGTTGGTTGAAGTAATGTGTTGATACCATTAGTACAGTTAGAATTTAACTGGGACTCAATTTGTTCTGCCACTAATGAAGGCAATTTTTTAGTGCTTTCATTTGTAAGACTTTTTATTTTTTTAGATTTTCTATTCATAACAGTGTCCCAAGAGTCATCATCAAAAACAAAATTAAATGCAAAATTCAAAGGATCTCTCACGTACATAGTATCCATAGTCTCGGAGTTATTAGCATCGAATACAGATAATTTTGCTTGAACTTCTTCACCACCATTAATGTTGGCTCCTAAAATACTGAATGGGTTATTATCACTGCTGTGTAAGTTACTGGCTTCAGCTAATGATTGTGAGATGTCAGATTTAGGACATATTTCAGATATACCACTTTCTAGTAAACTAGACAAGTCTTCTTCACTTTTTTTACTTTTCTTTTTGCGTTTTTTCTTGGAATTTTTCAATTCTGGACCTATTTTTACCACATGGTCCTTGATGATACTATAATCATATGGTGGTGGCTGGTTTTTCATGTAATCTTCATCTAAAAGATTCCCATCTGATTCAGAATCTGAAGTAAAGTTCTCATGAAGATGAACACTTTTCAGCATAGTCCTACTTGAGCTAAGCAGCTTAGACAGTTCATTCTAAAAATATAAAATTAATATGATTTAACTATAAATGTGCTCACATTTTCAAATCATTGGAATAGTAGCAGCTGCTTTCCAGTGGCCCTGTCGAGTTACTCTGAGTAACTCAGAGTAAGTCAGTAGCCTTCAGCACCAATACCGTCCCACTGCACATTGTATTCTCATGCACTGTTCCTGGAGCAGTTCAGGAGCATATCACTCTCAAACCAAAAACCACTGGAAAGCAGCTTAGAAACATTGTTAAGTTCCCTAAAATTTTATAAAACTAATTTAATTGATATATCAACCCAAGACAGTTGTTTAAAAATATACGTACTCCACTGAGCTGAATGTTAACATGTTGACTGCCACTATGGACTGAAGAAAAAATGTCTTACTGGCCGTAAGAAAATTTTTCCATGATTCCTCTCAAAATAATCTAAAATGCAAGCAGGATAAAAATAAAACCTAAACAAAAATAAAAAACGCTGTTTTTACAACTATTTTTTTGTGGTGACACATTGGCATCACGCGGCTGGTCATAACTAGATTATGCCTGTTGGCCGCGTGAGACCAACGCATCACCACCGCAATCTAAAGAGTTTGTCGCATATAACAGTTGAGTTTTCTTTTTTTTAGTTTGATCAATAGTTTATAATACCCATTATAGTCGAGAGTGTTATGACAATCATGTCATATGAGGCAGAACAACTTTGGCAAGAACTTTTATCTAAAGACGAAATAGATGATGAAAACTTGTTTGGAGAAACATCATCAGATGAATATCAGCCTTCTGACAATATGACTGACTCTGATTCAGATTCAGGAATAAAAAGACCGAAAAGTAAAAAATCTTTGACAAGTAGTGTACAGGACCTTGTTGAGGGAAGCCAACCGTCAACTTCGGGAGCTGTTGTGCAGAAGTTCGATGCTGGCAGCAATGCCAGTTTACAACAAACAATTGAAATCTCATAGGTCATAGGCAAACGTTGCTATGCGTAAAACTCTGCAAACAACACTAAAATGCACAGGTTGCGAAAAGCACTACTGCTTAGATTGTTTCTTTCAGGTTCACATTTGTAACAGAATTAACTAATATTTTCAGTTTCACATGTTTAAGTTCTCGTTTTGTTTATCTTTTTTTTTCACAAGATTTGTCATAATTGAAATAATTATTTAGAAGTAGAAAAAAATGAAAACTATAACTTCGACTCTTACTACAATATATTTAGTCATGTGAGACCACAGTGGTATCACACAAGTAAAGGCCAACAGTTCCTACGGGTTCATTGGGCCGCCTATTAATCGATATTCAAATGCAGCTAAGAGACCACCGTGGCTTCACGCAGCAATATGGGTTCTCTGTCAGTGCGAGTCCACGTAGGAATCATGCGGCCAGAATTTTCATTTTACTATGGTGACACGTTGGTCTCACATGGCAGTCAACGTGTTAATACCCAAAATACATTAAATAGTTTACCTGAAACTCCAATTGTTCTTCCATTGTTGTGACTTGGTACCTCTCCCTACAATTATCATTATAAATTCATAATATGAAAAAATATACTTTGCATACATTCCTACATATATATAGCACATCATCAAAATGTCCATAAAATCATCATACTTTCTAGCTAAATTCCAAAAATGTAGTCTTTCATATATACATTTTATATTTCAATCGCGTTATAAAGACATTTTTGTGAAAATCATTTTCCAAACATTCACAAGAGATATAAAACAAAAGCTCCGAAGTGTTGTTAATAGCTGTCAATCTGTCAATCACATGCAAAACAAACTGTCAATCACGTGATTACATGCAGTGTTGCCGATCAGAAAAGGCGGAAGTGGTAGATAGTGCCCGTTGAAAGTCGGTAGATTCAAGGACAAATCGGTAGGAGAAAAAAATCAGGTCTCAAGATCAGGGGTGGGTCAAAGGCCTCTGCGTTAACACAGCGCCGTTTATGAGAAAAAAGTATATTTTTGTTTTGCGCGCGCACACGACACAGACTTTATGAGGCCATCTTTTCCTGAAAAAATATTGACTTCTTTATTACAACTTGAACAATGAGCATATTGTCTTTTTCACGAGTAGTATACGGTAGAATAACAGCTGATCGTCTCTAGTAATATTTCAAAATTGATTCCCCATATCGACAAATGATACATAATTTTGACTGATCCGTCCTGACCAGAGGTGCTTTCGAGTTGAGAATTGTATGCACCCGGAGGCCGCTATGAACCTGCATTCTTGCACTATCTGGTGATCTTTATCATTCAGGAACATCTTAAATGTACGTTGTGACTCTGGGTCATAACATCAGTTGTTTACCATCCTCCATTGTCTGGTATGGTTTAAAATGTGAGGTTAATGCAAAAACAAACAAAAACGATGAAAATACGTAACCCAACAATCTTGACACAAATGTCATTTTCGTTAACCCCACCATTTCGGAGCGTATAACACCGAATAAAAAGCTGGTGCATAAGGCTGCAGGGGATTTCAAAAATAAGTAGCTCAGGTGCATGGCACTACAAATTGCACCATATTAGGCACCTGATCAGGGAGAACAGGAGACTCAAGCGAGAACATCTCCAGCTGTTGACAAAGGACTGGAGAATTGCGCGAAACGGAGCATCGCTAGCTCTGAAGAACGCACTCGCGGAACTCTGAAACAACAGATAGAATTCAGCCTGCGCAGAACTAGAGACCCAGGATGGTACGGCCTGGACTATGCAGCGAAAATTTCGTCGTCAGCGCACCACGATCCCCACACTTCACGGCCAATGCTTCTTGGCCTATTCCAGTGAAGAAAAAGCCGAAGCTTTCGCCGATTCACTAGAATGCGAATGCAGACTCAAATACCATGAAGACGAGGAAGACAACCACGAGGAGGCAGTGGAAGTCGCAGCCGAAACCATGAGGAGTCGACCACCTGACCAGGAGACGGACCACCCCTCCAGTCCAAAGGAAATCCGCCTGATCATCCGCAGGTTGAAGGTCAGAAAGGCGCCGGAAAAGGACGGCATCAACAACAGGATGCTGAAGAACCTTCCCTCCAAAGGCATTGCTGCGCTCACCAACATCGCCAATGCCACTCTGAGACTTAACCACTTCCCGCGGCGGTGGCGGGAAGCCCAGGTTATAATGCACACCAAGCCAGGCAAGGACCAGAAGTTGACTCAGAACTACCGGCCCATCAGCCTGGTATCCTCGATGGGCAAAGTAGTCGAAAAGGCCATCGCCGTTCGACTAAAGAAGCAGGCAGAAGAACTGGAACTTCTCCCCCCAGAGCAATTCGGCTTCAGATCCTTCCACAACACGGAACTCCAAGCGCTACGACTGACAGAATACATCACCAGTGGCTTCAATCTCCAGGAGACAACCGGCCTCGTCCTGCTGGACGTGGAACGAGCCTTCGACCGAGTTTGGCATGATGGACTCATCGCCAAAATGGAAGCCGCCGGAATCGACGCAAACATGTGCCAACTGATACAGAGCTATCTAACACAAAGATGGTTCACGGTGAAGATTGGTACATGCCACTTAACTAGAAGACAGCTGGAAGCAGGCGTTCCCCAGGGGTCAGCCTTAGCCCCCCTGCTCTACAACATCTACACACACGACGTACCGAAGACAGCAGACACAATGCTGGCCCTATATGCAGACGACACTGCTATAGCCGCCAAGCATCGACGACCCGAGATCGTCCGTAGGTGACTATAGGATGAACTGGACCACATCCAGAACTGGTGCGTGAAATGGAAAATCCGCATCAATGTCCAGAAGACGCAGGCAATCTTCATCCAACGAAGAAGGATTGCAAGATCTCCCGAAGCATCCATCTTCGACGAAGATATCCAATGGAACGACAAAGTCAAATACCTGGGGATCGTATTTGACAAGTCACTCACCTGGAAAGATCACATAGAAGCTGTCATCGCAAAGACCAGAGCACCCATGGCCCAACTCTACCCATTACTAGGTAGACACAGCCGGATGCCGCTAGCGACCAAGCTACGGCTGATCAAGGCCATCGCCAGACCTCAGCTCGCTTATGCCGCCGCGGTCTGGGGGTACGCTGCTCCCAGCTACCGCAAGCGACTTGGTGCTCTAGAGATGAAGTTACTCCGGATCGCCACCAGTGCATCATCCTACGTAAGAAACTCAACCTTACGTAGAGACCTGCATTGGGACACCATTCACGAGTACATGAGGAAAAAAGCAGAAAATACCTTCCAGAAAGCTCAGGACCACCCGAACGAGCAGCTACGACTCCTCATGGACTACGATCCGGACGAGAGACCTCGCAACCGCAGAGCCAAGTACCCTAGACCCAAGTCACAGTTGGCAGGCCCTAACTGGAACCTTGACTAGGAGTACCCGCGGTTTAGTGGGTATTAGGTAGTCTCCTCAAGACAACCTGGAGTCCCACACACGCCGTAGCTCGAGCTATGGTAAGGTGCCCAAATGCATTCCCTCACAAAAAAACTACAAATTAAATCATAACACTCTAGAGCACTGGAACGGTATTGACAGGTGGTGGGTAGCTCCGAGTTACTGCGAGAAACACAAATGAGGCACTGTAAAGCACCTCAGGTAGGCAGAGCCGTATTTTATTTAGTTTTTTTTTGTATGCTACAGGTTCGTTTTGTACTCGCTTTTACTTAGAAAATTTTATTCACATTAAAAAAAATCAAGTTTTACTAAATTTACACCCGGATTCATGATTGCCCGTTGGCAACGTTTTATAGACTAATACAAAGATGTCATTTGCTGATCAGCAGTTCACCTCTGTAGACGTCAAAATGTAATGGATACTCGTGAAATAGGGTTTACTGGTCGCTCTTCAAACTTTTTGATACTATCTGGGACACTTCTTTCTCCATTCTTGATGTGAATATTTTTCTGCATTACCCCTGAACTTGAAGCTTCGTAACCTGGCATTTGTATTTAATATTTAATCAAAAACACCATATCTTTGGTTTCCTTACTGCTTGCCTGGAAATACGGTGATGATGGTGATCTATCAGTCTGTATAGACATGTGTACGCACGAAAACCAATACAGGAAACACAAAAAACAGGGAAGCGGAGTAAATTATAGGCAAGTCTACGTTCATCGTGTGCTCGACTGTCTGAGGGTATGTTTATAGTGAGTGAATATGCTTACTGCGATGCTTTCTTCGCTACCTCGATGATCGCTTCCTCGATCTGATCGCGATGTAAAACAAACACATGTTTTAAGTTGGGAGCGTTCATGGTGACGATGCATTCTGCGCCGCTACCTTCGCTTCCTCGCGGTCGACCGTGCGGAAGAACAATTCTTTTGTTTTTACCTCGCTGTCAGGAGGGAAACATTGGGGTGGGCTTAGCTGCGATTGGTTCTTTCAAGGTCGTGCTCGTTCCTCAGCAAGAATTGGATTACTGTGTAAGTTGGTGTACTTGCGGTCGTCCAGCTAGAGGCTCAACTTTGTCGAGTATGTAACCAAATGTATCTGTCGACATTCTCATGTATGAGTGGAATCTTTCATTGTCTCTCAATTCGAGGAAAAGATGGTGGTACTCTCCAAGTTCCTGTCTCGCTTTGTTTACTGGATGTGTACTGTATTTTCGATGTGATAGAGAACTAAACATCCACCACTTGGTTACTAGAGACAAATCACTCTCACTGTCGCGTGACATCCTGCCTTATTATTCGCTCGTGAACAAATGAAACATTAAGAACAGCGTTCGAGGAGAGAAGAGAAAACATCGAGGCTGAATTCAGTATGAACACCCTCCATCCATGTACAGGGTGCGGCAGAGAGGATGGACGGTTTTTAAAAAATCATAATATAGTTAATTTTTACTCGAAAACAAATTTATTGATGGAATCGGGTTCACAAGGAAATAGCATTTGAGACAGTCAAGTGTGGAAAATCACATCAGGCATGTGGTGGCCGAAATCGTTGATGCAGTGCTGTTTAGGTGAAAGTGGGCTTCGTCACTCATAACCAAAATGAGGTTCTCATTTTGATCGATCAGTGCTTCCATCTCACGTACGCAGTTCAGTCGTTTTGCATAATCTCCGGGCTGTAACTGTTGCACAATGGCCAATTTGTAGGGGTGAAAGCGGAGATCCATATGCAAAATTCGCCTTACCGAACGATCACTAAGGCGAAGTGCAGCAGCATGTTTCCGGGCAGATCGAGTCGGACTGCGAAGAAAGACCTGTCGAACGCGTTCAACATTTTCAGGAGTTCTAACTGTTCGCGGCGCTCCTCTTGGTCTTCTGTTGATGAGTTCACCACGCCTGCGAAGTGATTCAACCCAACGAAGGATGGTGTTTCGAGAGGGAACAGCTCTATCCCGATGAATGTTGAAGTGGCGACGAAACTCACGCTGTACGACGATGACTGACTCATTATTTCGGACGAAACAATCATAGGCGAAAACGCGGTGCTCCACCGTCCAAGGCTCCATAACGACAACTGGTAAAATAATGCTAGGATCTCACGAGTCACCTCTCTCGTAGACGGAGGCGGAGAGGAAGCGCTCATCGAGGTAGCGAAGAAAGCATCACAGTAAGCATCTTCACTATGAACATACCCTTAGGATACGAACATTGTGTGTGTGCGCGCGTACGTATTGCATTAGTTGTAGGAAATTCCACATAATATTTACCAGTGTTTCAGCCAGATAACTGCGAAGTTTAATGAATTATTCTACCCAAATTTCAAAAGTATATCGATTTCGCGGGCTCCTAGGTGACGTTGCGTTTTGGCTCTAGACTCATGG